GTGGCTGAAACATGCTTCGGCTCCATGTGCCAAGGGGGCTTCTCCTCAGCCCGGCCATCTCGACCTCCTTCTCCCCACCAGCAGCTAAGAGCATGTTCTGTTGTCAGCGGGATGTAGGCATGACCGCCAGAGCTCGTGGTCCTGCAGCTGAGAAAATGAGGGCGCAGTCTGCTCTCTGCTCCAATTTGGCCCCAAGAAGATACTTCAGGGCCTAATTGCTGTTATTCTGGCCCTTCTGCTAAGTAAATGGCCCTGCATGGCCTCAAGAAATTGGACAGAGTGCTTCTAGCCCCTCCGGACTCGGACTCCCCCCAACCTGTATGGGGCGGGAGACCATCTGTTTCGTTGTAATTAAACCTCTGCTGGCAGCAGTTCTGTGCTCAGGGAGGGGGCGCCTAAATGGGGCGCCACGGAAGCAGAGCAGGTTTTCCTTGTGCGCTTGGGGAATGGCAGCCCTGTGGAGGGTACTGTTGGCCAAGGGGGGTGGGAGCAGAGGGATGAGAAAACCACCCACAGCCCCTGCTCTCCACTGGCAGTTGCCCGTGGCCAGGTGCGCCCCACACACCAGCCTGGCACTCTTAGCTGCCTCCTGTCTGGGTTGGGTATAATCAATTATCCTTATTTTACAAAAAAGGAACTGGGGCGCAGGGGGGAAAGTGACCTGACCAAGGCTACTCAGCCAGGGAGGGGGGGAGCCGGCTCTCAGCCAAGAAAATGGGCTGGTAACCACTCATTCTGTTCTGAGCAGTTCTCTGCACCCCACCCACCCGAGGGAACACCAGCACCACAGGGACCCATCAGCCAGGGGCTGTTAAGTGGTTGGGCCCCTTTGTTTTTCTGCCCTCCTTCCAGGACCTGGTTTCCCTAGAGACAGCTTTGTTTGCATTTCTCTTTGTGGTGGTGGTTTATTTTTTTACCAGTTTTACTTTTCACCTCCAAAAATCCTACCCCGGCTGCCCCCGCCCCTTGCTCCCCCACAGGGGGCCTGCGCCAGGGCAGGAAGCACTTCTGCTCCAATTAATTTTGTGAGCAGCAAAGCCAAATGCTTCCATCTTCAGCATCTTCACTAACAAAATGCCAGAAACGTGTATGGAAATGTTATTTCATTTCAGCTTATTTCGAGCAATGGATCTCTCTCCACCAAAGCTTGATTTAAGTAGGTCATCTGTTAACTGCTGAAGGAGTGCAGGAGGGTTCTTTTTAGGAGTGATGTAACTTGCCTTCTGTATTCAGGTGCAGCATGTACAGTGAAGTGCTCACACTACATGCATCCACACAGGTTCCCTGCCTGTAACCCCTGCCCAGCTGACGGTACCGCCACAATTCCCAGCTCCCCTGAAGGCTCCCGCTGGCCCCTGCCTGGTACTCCCAGGTCCCTCGGCCCAGTGCTCGCTCTTCTGACTTTCATGGGTTTGCTGTGACTTTAGCATAGGCTGCGTGTGTACAGACGCTAAAATCAGCTTCACACTTGGAACAGCTTCAAGCTTCCAGAACCCTGACAGGAATATGATGGAGACTCCCCAGAGAAAGTGTGCAGATTTTGTGTCAGTAACAGCCTTTGTGGGAGACGGCCACCTCCGGGTCACAGGTTACCCCCAGTCCTGTCTTTCTAGTCTCTTTCAACCTGGCATGTTTTTGAGTCCTCCCTTGACTTTTACAACTTGACACTAGAAGTCGAGGCATTTTGTGGGGAGAGTTCAGTGTCTCTTTCCTCCCAGTGAGGCCCAGCTTACTTACTTTGGCAGAGCACGCAGGTGCTGTCGCCCTGCATTCTGTCGGGGAGCACTCGGGGAGCACTTGGCGTCTCCCCCACTGCTGCCGGTGAGCTCAGTCGCCTTCCTGAAGATGAGCCGGCCTCTGCCGCTGCGGAGCCCATTGTCCGTCGTAATTGATGATTCTTTTTTTGTGGAGAGAGACGCTGAGCCTAAGAGCAGGCTTTTAACTTATATAACCAGAGAGTACTCTTAGGGAGGAAGATTTATTTTCCATTTATTTATTCTTTACTACCTTTTGAGTTTGGTTGAGTAAAGTTTTGTGTAAATTGATTTGTGTATTTTCTGTCCTCTAAGACCTCTGTGCAGAAAAGCCATTAATAGGCCCAACTGTGCGGTCTTGATGATTTCCTGTCCCATCTCCAAAGCCCTTGGTAATAAGCGATGTGGAGTTTATCCTAACAGAAGCCTGAGCTATTTCTTACTTTTTTTCCCCTTGGGGAAGATACCCATAAAAGGCTTCTAGAATTCTTCTCAGTAACATTTGAGAGCCACTCTCCAAGGAGCTAGAGTATGTCAAGAGGAATATGAGCCAGGGGCTGAGTTGGTGGAATTACAGTCAGATAGCTGTAGGCAGAGAAGCAGAGTCCAACATAGCATTAAATGGAGGAGCCAGGACACAGAAGCCCCTGAAGCCGAGGAGGAGGAAGAAGAGGGCTTTGGGGACTGGGCAGGACACCGTTAAGAACACAAGGTCGGTCTCCAACCTGTTACTGGATTTTTTTTAGCACTAGGGTCTTAGGGGACAGCAAATACATAGATGCAGGAGTGAAGGGCAAGAGGCCTCTCTGAGAAGGTTTCCAGGGGAGGTTACCTCTGAAATGATTTTGAAAAGGGAGGAGTCATGTTTCAGATGGTTGGGGGGGTTCTGAGCACCAGGCAGCTCAGTTTCCGCTGGCCCAGAGGCTGGGGAGGCCATGTTAGGGAGCTTGTCAGGAGGAGTGTGAAGGGAGCCACCAGCAGTCTGACCACATGCCTGTCGAGGGTGTAGGGAGCTTCCCACAAGTTCGGCACCGGCACCCCAATAAATACTAAATGAGTTCTGTCCTGGCCTGATGATGCCGTGTGTGGGATCTGTCTGCGTGGACCTTGCTTACCTGCTCATAAAAGTGCTTTGAAGAATTACAAGGTGCTGCTCCAGCCAGTGTGGGCTTGGAACCCTGTGTTGGCCTCTGCTTTCCCCTGAGCAGCCCTCCACTGCCCTCTAAGCAGCTCCTGCCCCAGAATGTCAGTCTGTCTGAAAATCAAATCCACCTTCACAGTGGCATCTCCAAAGAATCAAGAAATAACGGTGGAAGCCCATCCAGCCCTGTGGGTTATGTCCTCACAGCTCCTTTCATCATACAGCCCGTGAGCTAAAATGTCTTTCACATTTTCCAAGAGTTGCAAAAAATATGACAGAAATTGTTTTGGCCTGGAGTGCCTAAAATATTTGCTGTCTGGCCCTTTTCAGAAAAAAGCTTGCCAACCCCTGTCTTGTCTGACGGATACAGTAATCTTTTGTGCAGTACTACTTGGCAAATAATCATTTGAAATATGCTTGAACCCTTCCACTGATGGAAAATTCATTATCTCTTTGGTCCATCTATGTTGTTTGGACTATTCAGGTATTAATACATTTTAAGCTTTGTTGAAATTTACCTTGACCATCACACCCATCCATTGGCCCATTTTTTGAAGGAAGAGAGCTATTAGTTCATGTCAACATTTGCTGAGCTAATATATTCCGGGCGCTGACTGAGGCTGCAGAGAGATGACAGGACAGCACCAGGTGCTTCAGATGTTTTTCTTGGAGCTGGAGCTAAAGCTGGTGGTCCTGTGTCTCTGAGTCTCCATCCTCTTGCCATCGGGTTCAGGCTTTTTCTTTAATTACTGGACTTATCTCTGTATTGTGACTCTGTTCACAAAATTCAAAAGGCATAAAGGTTAGCCAGTGAAAATTAGTCTCTTCGCACCCGTCTTCTCTCTCTGTTGTGGCTTTCTTAGGAAGCGATTGCTGTCACACATTTCCTGTGGAGATGTGACTTTCAAAAACAGCACTCACACAAAGTGAAGGGCCATTCCCACAGAAACTTTTGAAAAGTACTCAGCCAGCAGTATTTTCTGAGCTCCTAATTGAGTGGCTGAGCATGACTTGGTTTTCATGAGTCTGAAGTTTGCACCACATTTGGGTGGCAGACAGCTCCAGAAGTTTCCCGTTGCTTAGCCACCCACCTGCTATTTCAATCCATCTTGCCTGCATGTTTGGTTACTGTCAGGATTCTTACTCATCGCAGCAAACCCATTCCATCTTCCCTTAGAAGTGACACAGTCCCATCTAGTGTACTCCTGCCTTTTACATGTTGAATATGATAGAAATAGTTTGAAACAAAACTCAGTCATGCTTATATTGATGTATAGAAGTCATCTTTTAGCTTTCTAACCCAAGCAGTGATCAAAAGTCTCACCTGCATTGACCAGGCCTTACTCTTCCAGAAGCCAGCAATATTTAGATGTAGGTTAGTAGCACATCAGTAACCTGGCTGACACTTCCCACTAACCCCAGAGATTCCTCCTGAACCTCCCTTCTCCCTTAAACCTCCCTTTGGCTTAAGGAAGATTGGTGACACGACACAGAGTGAGTGATCCATTTTACCTGAGTGGCAATTGAAGTGTTCCCAGCGACCTCCTGACCACCACTGCTGCTGTATTCTAACACCTCCGTTGTCTCAGTCTGTCAGCCAGTCAGCAGTTGATCACCAGCCACGTCCTCTTATGAAATAGGCTTCTGGCTTCTGTTTGAAATTTCTCAAAGACGAACTAAGTCAACATGTTTGAAAGATGTGCCTGCCCTTCATACAAATCACCTCCTTAGCATGCCTGCCTGCTGTCTTGTTAATGCTGGTCTTGATCCACTTTTCCCAGCTGCTGAAGGGCCATAGGGAATTGAGCTTTCTTTTTCTTGTCTCTGGTGTTGGTAAAATTCCATGTTAACGGCCTTAGCAGGTCATGACAGTGATGCTGAATTACTGTGGACCGTCAAGGGCATGTGGTGGTGACTGAAGCTTATGGGGGCCTGCTGACCCATCACACAGGATCTCAGATGAGACTCATCTGACCATGGTCAGCCACTGTGCTGACTTCCTGCTGCTCTGGGTGGTTGCTCTGGCCGTGGCCTTTTACTTTGACTTTGTTGGAAAGGAGGCTAGTATGTAAATGATTTTCAGGCTGACTGGTTATTTTTTGCAGATGTGAGGCTGATGTGCAGTATTGAGGTTCTTAGAGGGTTTCCTTCTGAGAGGCACTGTGCGTGGAGAACAGAGCTGACAGGCCTCGGCTGTAATCTCAGCTCTTCTTCATCCTAGCTGTGACTGTAAGGTAGGCATTGTTGTAAGTATAGAGAAGTCCCCTTTTATCTCTGGCTTCATTTCCCTGAGTTTCAGTTACCCCACTGACTGTGATCTGAAAATATTACATACAATGAGGTATTTTGAGAGTGGCCACAGGTAACAGTTACAGTAGATTGTTATAATTGTTCTTATTAGTTATTGCCAATCTTTTACTGTGCCTAATTGATAGGTTAAACTTTAGCATAGGTATGGAGGTATGGGAAAAGCACTGTATGTGCAGAGTTGGTACTGCCCATGGTTTCAGGCATTACTGGGGGCCTTGGGATGTAGCTCTGTGGATAAGGGGAGACCCGTGTTGTATATAAAATGCTTGGTATAGTGCTTGTCACAGACAAAGCATTGAGCAAGAACAGTTGCTGTCACTGCTGCTGTTGTTTTAAAGGGTTCAGAAAGCTCTGATGGAAAGTGCAGCCCTGTGCATGGTGGTGAATGCTCTGACTTCCATCTGTCCTCATGGGGAAAGGAGTGCTCTCCCGCGGCTTGCTGTAATGAGAGCTTCATAAAGGATCTTCCGAGATGGGAGGGATTTTCCTGGAGAGGAGGGAGGGTTCCTAGGGGCCAGAAGGTCGGGAACGTAGCAAGCTGGGGTGGTGACAACTTACTCTCTTGTGGAGGAAGGCTGACGCTTTTGTTTAAAGAAGGGAGCCCAGGATCAGTGCTAGTGGTGGGGTGACATCTTAGGAGGGGGAGGGCTGGAGACAATGGGCAGGAGCCTGTACTGCTTGAGCTGAGACATGACCGTGGGATGGACAGCAGGAAGGCGGTGCTGGGCCAGAAGCACTGTCATCCCTCCCGAACTCTTAAGTTCATCGCCCTCTCCAAACCTCAGCTCCTTTCCGAGAACTATCACTTCTTAATGCTCTGGGGAGGGCGAAGTTCAGGTGCAGAGCCTGGTCCCGTCGATGCTCAGCAACTGCAACCTTCTCATTCTTGCGACCATTTAATGTCGAGCTTCTAGCCATGAGTGGGCTATTGGATGTGCGAGAGTCGGAAGGTGACCCCTTGGCTCCATGGTGGCGATGACGAGTAAACCAGGACAGACAGGGAAGGGGGAAGAACCTGGGGAGTGATTGTACAGGGAGTTTGGGCTGCGTTGGGCTTGAGAAGTCCCTGAGAAATCCAAGTGGTGCTGCTAAACGGCACTTGAATCTGTGTTTGGAAGTCCGTGCTAGAACAGCCCTGGGTTCATTGGTTCTAGCTGGAAATTGATGCAGGGAAATTGCCGTGGGGGGAATCTTAGAGACTAAGCAGTGGGACTGAGCATTTCAGCTTTCAAAAACCAGCAGCTGTGGGCCACATTGTGGGGTGCAGAGGAAAAGGGAGCAGTGGAGGCCCAGGAAACCAAGCAGGGGACTGTAGCTTGTTCTGCAGCCCACACTTTCTCAGGGTGTGCCCCAGGCCACTTGCACCAGGGTCTGCTTTGCCCCCCTGAAACTGACGTCACCGTGCTGGGATCCGCTAGCTGCCGAGCTGCCGCCTCTCCGGCTCTCTGGGGAGTATGAAAACACGAGTGAGCTGGAAACAGGCAGGGATTCTGAAACTGCCAAATTATAAAAATCCATTCAAATAACTGGAAAACAGAAATGACTTAATGTGTGGGGAGGGCACATTTAGACTTGTTTCCTGTGATTTAGAGGAGCCTCCAAAAGTCAGTGTCAGTGGCCCGAAGGCCTCACGATAGCAACAGACTTGAATCCGCCACCAGGACACTCACCTCTGGGAGACTCCGGGCCGCGCCCCGCTGCGGTCTCTGCCCCCTTCCGCAGCCTCACTCCATGGTAAACGCTCCAGGCGGAGCCCTCGAGAACCTTGCAGGGGGGTGGGGGCATTGCCCGGGCCGCAGGCCTGTAAAAAGCAGGCCGGGTCCGGGACACGGATGACCAGCCTTTGTGGCCAGCTAGCTTATTGATTACGTGGCCAGATACATCACTGTGAGAGCTTCTACTGCTTGTATTGTTTGGTTTTTTTTTAGTTTAAGTCCCCACTGTAAACATTTCAGTAATTCATAGTTGGATTTCTGTTGTCAACACATCTTTTTAGGTGTGGTTGTTGGAAAACATAAGCATATTTAAAACATGGCTGCTGTGAACAAGCACCCATTAGGAATCCAGCAAAGGCAAACGGATGTGCCCCCCAGAAGTGCTGTGGACACAGCCCCCCTTTGCCAACCCTGCATGTTCTCTTAAAACCTGCCTTCAGATTACGCTTTAGAAAACCACCTGGGAGCCTTTTAAACATTAAAACCCAATGCGGTTGACTATGTTTTTTCTTTTCTTTTTGGCGCCTGACGCTCCTTGCCCGGTTCACCATCCCTCTCTGAAGTCTTGCTTCTTGCGCTGGGCGGGTGGATAGCTGTACCTCCCGGCATGCCAGCTCCTGCTTCGTTTGTGGTTTCCCTGCTTCTGTTTCTTCTTTGCCACCAGTGGGGAACATTCTCCAGAACTTGGTTGGGCTCGGGCTTCTCTTTCCTCCCACACTGTCAGTCTCGCGTGCCGAGGCTGTGACCTGGAGCCCACCGTCCTCGTGACTCGGAGCTTACCTTTCCGAGTCCCCTTCTCGGCAGCCTAGAACCAGCTTCGCTTAACCCTGGGCCACGGCCGCAGACATCTGTCATTGCTATCACCCCTGCCAGTGCCTTTTCTTCTCTCTAGCCAGACACCGCAGCGCCTTTTCCCCTCGAGGACACCAGGGTGCCAAATTCAGGCACGTTTTCTCTTAAAATGACCCCTCTGAGGGTCTTGTCTCACGTGTGTTCCTCTGCTCCATACTAGGTCTTCATTCATAAATCCTCAGCCTCTTAAAATGTTTTCCCTAGCTGCCTCCTCCCAAGCCATTTGCCACTGCAGAGTTCTACCACGTCCCCTGTCCAAAATTACCACTGAAGATCCCGAGGCCTCCAGCCCCTCTTCAAGGCTCTCTCTCCATACGTGTTCAGCATGTCACCTGTCAAGCTGTGTGCGTGCTGCTTTTGCTCCGTGGAAGCCTTTGCCGGGAGAGCTGGCATGTGCCCCACCTAACTCTGCACCCCACTCCTTTGGGCCTTCTCCCCAATAAGTCCCACACTCGCCACCTCCTTGTGTTTTAGCACTTTTATGTAATACTAGCTTTGCATTTCCCCATTTAGTCACCATCAGCCCAAGGCTTCTTATCTCTAATTTTAACAAGTTTGGAAAACTGAAAGCTGTTGGCACAAAACTCAGGCAAAACCTCTCTGAGTGGATGTGAATTGCTTTTTAAAAATGTATCCCATCCATGCGGCTTTTCACATATGCCACTATAGGAATGTCAGTCTGTCTGCTCGTCGGGCTGTTGGGCAGGGGAGGACATGAAGGGACCTCATGAGCTTCTGCTTTTTGAAACTGCCAGGCTCCTCCCATGGTGCTCTCGCCTGCCAGGGCCGCCACCCTGTGCACGCGCAGAGCATGTGGGACGCTACCGTGTACACTCGCTGATTGCCGGGAGGGTCAGATTTATTTGATGGCTAGAGGGGGAGAGGAAATATTAGGATACATATGACAAAATGCAAAATTGCATGCATTTAAAAGATTAAAAAAGTGAGATTTCGAAGAGAAGTTGGAGACTGTTGCTAGGTAGGCAGCTCCGCCCTCCTGGTCCCCAGGAGAGGTTGAGCTCAGCTGCCCTCCAGCGCCCTGCTGCTGGCAGTCTTGCACCTCTAGCCGGCTGGCCTGGGGTTCATACTTGAAAAGTTCTCTTAGACCACACAGGATGGCAATAACGTCTGAGTCTATGCATTTGTCAGAAAAAGACAAAAAGACACTAGTGCCTCTGTCAGATTGGCTGTATCAGGAGAGGGAGATGCAGGAACGGGAAGCCCCAAAAGGTCACTGAGAAGCATCAGCTGGTCATCGGAGGTGAAATGTGACAGCTCCCGCAGGTTCCGCAAGATAATTTCAGAGCTGTTTTTCAGAGCGCTAGTCAGCCTCCCCTCATTCGATTTGTGTGTGTGTGTGTGTGTGTTTTGATGAAGCAGTGTGGAGAGTGACCTTTCTCACCATGCCTGGGCTCTGCTGCTATGTTCTGCTTTGTGTTTCACTAGGCCACAAATCATGGCGGCCGCGGCGGGGGCTCCTGGGCTCTCCAAGCTGCAGTTCGCCCCCTTCAACAGTGCCTTGGATGTGGGCTTCTGGCATGAGTTGACCCAGAAGAAGCTGAACGAGTATCGGCTGGATGAAGCTCCCAAGGACATTAAGGGTTATTACTACAATGGTAGGCAATAGTAAACTCCATCTTCTGTCATCTTCTGTCCTCTTCCCTGCTCTCCACTGTAGGACAGCTTTCCTTTGGAAAGAGACACCCTTGTCTTTTATAATGATCGCTCTTCACTAGTTGCTATTTTACTTCCTGACCCAGTTTCATCAGTACTTCCTTTCTCCTGTCGCAGGGAAAGGAAAGGGAATCATGAAACCCACACTATTAATCCGAAGAATGAACACTGATTACTTAGTATTGCTGGGAGAGGGGCTTGGAAATACATTTTTCCAGTGAATACTTTTTACATTCTTGCCAAATGCTTCGAATTACAGAAGCTCCATCATTTTCTGCAAATCCCCTATTTAGTTGGGTAACCAGGAGTTGGGGGGGACACTTTGAGCTCACTAAAAAGAACACAGTTACTCATAACGTTGCTATTATGACTGCTGCTGTTACTGACTTTTAATTGAAAGTGTTGTCATGCTTCTGTCCAGGGGACTCTGCTGGGCTGCCAGCTCGCTTAACATTGGAGTACAGTGCTTTTGACATGTGAGTATTTTTTGCTCGAAATCTGACGTGTTTGCCCTTTGCAGGGATGCGCATTCTCAACCTCTGTCATAGGTAGGCCACAGGAGGAGTGGTGAGCAGGGCAGCGCCTCAGAATTCTCTTGTGCCTCCTGTGGCGCAGAGACGTGTGCTAGACACTTGGGCCAGCACTCTCATTTTTTCAGCTGATACTTGTCAGGTGCCAAGTGCCAGCTAAATTGACTGAGCCTTAGCGAACATCTCTCCTGATTGGGATCATTGTTAATGTTTTGTGATCCTCTTGACTTCTTCAGATGCTCATCCACAGGTATCAGTGTACATCCATGAGGCTACTTTGTGTTCACGCCGCCATACGAGGCGGTATGACATATGACCTCAGAAAATTTCTGTAATAACCTTGGCACAAAACACAGGCAAAAGCTCTCTGAGTGGCTATGAACTGTCTTTTTAAAATTCCTCCCATCTATGTGACAATCACATGCCATTTCCATATGCAGGAGTAGGCATATGACATAATCTGGCTAGAGTAGTGAGCAGTCGTTGGAGAGAAGGGACAAGTTATTGACTTAAGTAGGTGTCGTCACGTACATAATCCTTTCAGATCTCCCAGGTATGATTTCTCTCTTTGACAGGAACCTGTGAGACAAAAGGTAAAATAGCTTGCCTGGGGTCACATGTGGCTAAACGTGGAAGCTAGAGTGAAAGAAGAGTATTTCTGAGGTTTCAGTCTGAGTAGTGAGGACCAGTTTGTTATCTCTGAATGAAAGAGAAGACAGGGGAGAGGGATACAGTTTTAAGAGGAGGTGACTTTGTTTTAGAGAATGTTGGGTTTGAGATGACAATGCCCAACAGAGGTGGCAGGAGGCATGGGAGTCGAGGAGGGTGGATCAGACTGGTGTTGGGAGTCCTCTAGGTCAGGGAGAGCTCAGGCAGAGGATTGAGGGGAGGGTAAGAAGATACTGATCTGCACTGGAAAGCACATTGTACTAGTGACAGAGACGGGAACACATGGAACTAGTGGAGGATGTGCAGAACTAGCCGTGGAGACAGGAGTCATCACAGGGGATGAAGGGCCAGAAAAGCATTACAGAAACCAAAGTAGGAAGATCTTTCAGGAAAGAGAGATGGTCACTAATTCAGAAGCAGAAAAGTCAGATTTCAATGTAAGGGTCCTTAGGTTGGTTACAGACTATTTATGGTCCTTGATTCAGTTTTCAAGTCGAATTCTATACTGTTATCCTGCAAAAGGATAAAAAGAAATCCCACTGAGAGGCTCTAAACTAATTGAGAGTGAGCAATTACATAAGAAAATGAAATAATAGAAGCCCAAATTGGAATAAAAGAGGTAAAACTGTTACTTTTTGCAGATGACATGATTTTTTAAGGCAGAAAACCCTAAAGACTCCACCAAAAATCCCTTAGAAATAATAAACAAAGACAGTAAATTTGCAGAGTATAAAACCAACATACCTAAATCTGTTGAGTACCTGTAAACTAGCAGCGAACTATAAGAAAGAGAAATTGAGAAAAACATCCCATTTTAATTATATCAAGAATGAAATACTTAGGAGTAAATTTAATGGAGGAAGTAAAAGACCTATGTGCAGAAAACTAGAAGACATTGTTGAAAGAAACTGAAGATGCAAAGAAATGAAAAGAGAGTCTCCTCTACTCATGTGAGTAGAAGAATTAACATTATTAAAATGTCCATGTCACCCAAAGCAATTTACAGATTCAAAGCAATCCCTATCAAAAGTCCAATGGCATCTTTTCTTTCACAGGATGAATAATCCTAATATTTGTATGGAACCAGAAAAGACATTGAACAGCCAAAGCAGGTTGGAGAGTGCAGATTTCACAGTGCAGATTTCAAGCTATATTCTAAAGTTTTAGTAATCAAAAGAGAGTGGTGATGGCATAAAGACAGCTACACAGACCAATGGAACAGAATTGAGAACCCAGAAATAAACACACCAATGAATCAATGACGAAGAAGGCAGGGGTACAGAAAGGAAAAGGGATGGTTGCTTTAATAAATGGTTTTGGGAAGATTGAGCAGCCATATGCAAAAGAACGCAACCACAATGAATGAAAAGAATGCACCAAATCTCATACGACATACAAAAATTAATACAAAATGGATGAAAGACTTGAATGAAAGACCTGAAATTGTAAAAGTCCTAAAAGAAAACATAGGCAGTAGCCTCCTTGACACTGGTCTGAGTAATACTTTCTGGGACCTGACACCAGAGGCGAGGACAACTGAAGCGATGATAAACACGTGGGGCCACATCACACGATAAGCTGCTGCGAGGGAAACCAGCAACAAGGAGGAGAGCAACTGAGTGGGAGAAGACAGGCACCGATCATGTATCTAAGGGATAGTATCCAGAATATATAAAGAGCTTCCACAGTTCAGTAAGAAAAATACAGACAATTCAATTAAAACATGGTCAGAGATGTACCTGCATAGATATTTCCCCACAGATATACAGATGGGCAGCAGACCCATGAGAAGATGCTCAACATCAGTAATCATCAGAGACACACAAATCAAACCCACAGTGAGCTGTTAACCTCACACCGTTCAGAGCAACAGATCAGAAAGACAAGATTAGTATTGCTGCAGATGCGGAGAAAAGGAATCTTTATGCACTGTTGGTGGGAACGTGAATTGGCGTAGCCACTGCAGGAAGCAGCACAGAGGTTCCTCAGAATAGCAACAACAACAAACTATCACGTGATCCAGCAGTTCCACTTCTGGGATTTATTGAACAGAATGAAAACACTTATTTGAAAAATATATGCATTATTCACAATTGCCAAGATATAGAAACAATCCAAAGTATACAAATGTTGATGAATGGATAAACAAGATGTGTGTGTGTGTGTGTGTGTCTGTATTATATAAAATGGAATGCTACTTAGCCATAAAAGTGATAGAATCTTGCCATTTACAATAGTGTAAGTGGACACTGAGGAAATAATGGTAGGTCGAATAAGAGAAAAAAGATAAATACTGTTTGATCTCACTTGTACCTGAAATCTGAAAAACCAAACAAAACAAAGTTCATAGATAGTGTGGGTGGTGAGGAAATGGATGAAGGGGATCAAGAGGGTGTAAAAGTTGACGTGGTGTGGTGATGGGTGGTAACTGGAATTTTTGTGATGATTTCACAGTGTATACAAATACCAAGTCAGCATGTTGCATGTCTGAAACCAACACAGCCCTTATGTCACTCATTCTTCAAAATTTAAAAACAAAAAAGATACTCAGAATTGAAGAATTAATGGCTTAGGTGAAGTTAGCTTGAGTGCGCTCGTACCTCAGCAGTGTCAAGATCAGAGCACCACCCAAGGCAAAGTGATCTTTTGAGGACCTCCTGACTTTCAAAAGTGACAGTAAACAAAGATTAGGGTTCTTTCAAACTCAGTACCTCAAAAGTCAGTATATTTGATTACTTTCTCTTGATCAAATTGCGAAAGTTAATTGTGGAACAGAAATCCAGAGGGTGGTAATCTCTGCTTTAAAGGCTGGGTATTGCTGTTTCTCCTTCCCTACAGAGCTTTCTTGTTCCACAATAAATTCCTTGTGATGACTTGTCAAAACTAATTAAAGCCTAGTAAGCGCTCGCCTATTTTGGCAAAGACCAGCTTTCTGTTGGAGCAATTACACGATAATGAGGAGTGTACAGGCTACGCACAAGCATTCAGCTATCCAAAGCCGCCGGGGCACAGTGATAAATCAGCAGCGTAGCGTTAAAGTGTTCTGGGAGCCCCAGCATGCCTCTCGAGCAAGGCTCACTCCTGTTTTTATTCTGACATCAGTTTGAAGGGCTTTTTGTTTTTAATTTTAATTTTATTCTTTAGAACAGCTAATTCTAGATAAAAGCCATCACAAAGTTAGGTTTGGTCCTGTTACAAAACCCAAGTACCTTAAACTTGATCAGTCGGAAAGTTTTTGTGGAGTTAAGAACATCTGTGATCCTGCAGCTGTGACTTTCACACAAATCGTGTGATCTGAGTGGCTATTGTCTTCTCTTTAGCTGTTGCAAGCCCAGCATGCAGCTGTGTGAGAGGCTCCTGGAGGTGGGCAGGGAGAAGACCTGGCCCCTGCAGTTGTGAAAACAGCCCAGGATTGAAGTGTGAAGTGGCTGGTGTCTACAGCTGATTGAGTTGCTCCTGAGATGGGTCCTTTGAGTTGCTCAGTTCAGTTTCCTCATCTCTAAAATGTGCTCGTGGCTTCCAAGGCCCCTTCCAGTTTGAAAGATCTGTGATTTTCTGAGGCCCTCGTTAGTAGGATATTGGGTGCCATGATAAAATGGCCTGGTTCTCCCCCAATTCCTGTGTGTGGGCTAGAAGTGGGAAGAGATCAGATCCTGAGGGCACGGCCCTTGGTGAATGGGTCTGGGAAGCCCTGACTGTGTGACTCAGAACCCCCAGGGGGCCGTTGGTGAATGGGTCTGGGAAGCCCTGACTGTGTGACTCAGAACCCCAGGGCTTCCACGAGGTGGCTCCGTGCTCAGCCCTGTTGTGATGGAGCCAGCTCGGGGATAGTCAGAGGGAGACTTGTTCTTTGCCCTCCAGTTAGGTGTCTGTGATGCTGGACACTCTAGAATCTGCCCACTTTTACATGCAAAGTCTTCAAGAAGATGTGAGATGGCCTCCTGGAAGAGGCGGCCTGGTAGGCGTAACGCTGGGGAGCCAGGTAGGGCCCTGGACACTAGCTATGCCCATCTCACGGGACCTCAGGCTGAGTGATGTAAGCCTGGAGTGGGGGAGGAGCTGTTAGCAGAATTCAGACCTTCAGTTCCTGGCATAATAGAAGCTCATCAGTACTGTCTCCCGCTCAGGTGAGATGGGAAAGTAAAAACTGCAATGAATTCTATCTGGCGGGGACAGTGGGAGGACGGGATGCTGAGAGCTGACGCCGAGCCATGGCAGATCCCCTGGGCACGGCGCCAGATAACGTTGATCTTTTTCAAGGAAATGACACTGCTGACCTGGCCTTGGCCCGTGGAGCTCAGCCCCCTGCCCACTCTGCACCGGCTTCCCTCTGGCTCCCTGGCTCTCTGGGCCCCAGCTGTGCCCACTTCATCTTGTTCCTCTCATACCCAGGGGTGCTCCCACGCCAGCCCACTGCTGCCCGGCCGTCGGCACACTGTATAACACCAACACACTCGAGGCATTCAAGGCTGCAGATAAGAAGCTCCTTTTGGAACAAGCCGCAAATGAGGTCAGCCGGGGAAGTGTCACGGGCAGGCTTCGCCTGTGGTCCTGGCTGGGCCGTGCTCCTGATTGGGGCCCTGGGTCTGGCGAAACTAATGTATTGGGCCTTCTTGAGCTCCATGTGGGCTTTGGTCTATTATCTTACCCTCAACACCCCCTCCCCCTCGCCCGAGAGAATCCTTACTGCTGTCTTCTGTGTGTGGGAAGGCCAGGAGAAGGCTCCTGGCACAGGCCGGGCGTTCATGGTGCCGCAGCATTCTGAAGGCTCACTGCTCCCTGCCGGTCAGCTTGTAGGAGCAGATGACCTCGAAGAGCTCTGTTCCTGTGTCAGGGTACAATTGGCTTCTATGCTTTTTGTGCCCGTCAGGGAGGCTGCCCAGTTCTCAGCCCCATGATGCTGTTACAGAGGAGGAAAGTCTCTCTAGGACCCTATCCAGTCTGTCCCTAGCCTGGCCCCTGTGGCCTCTCTGTCCTGTCATCCTGGCCCTCACCTTCTCCGACTGGTCAGAGAGTGACTTACAGCCCTCTTGTGTACTTTGTGTTCTCTCCTCTGTCCTGGGGACATGATAATCTCCGCCTGCCCTGTCTTTAGTGCTGCACGTCTGAGTTGGTGCAAGGAAGAAAAATGGGACAGTTTATCCCAATCTTTTCTAACCCATTTCACGGAATGGTCTTTAGAAATAAGATTCTTGTTTACTGGGTGCTGTGGCAGAGGGGAGGACTCCCGCTTTGGCCCCGGGCAGGCGTCCCTAACATCCCTCAGGACAGCCATCTCCGACTCGGGTGGTGAGGTGGTCTCCCCGGCCTTGGCGTGACAGCCTCCTCCGCGGGCTGCATGTTTAAAAGGATGTTTCTGAAGAGTTGGGTCAAGTCTTAACTGTCATCCCAAGCAGCAGGTTGCTCCCCGTGGGCACCCTCCTCCCCCAAGGCTAGTATTTCAGCGGCAGCAACTGCCTTTGCTTCTGTCCTCCACCCAGACTGGGGCGAGGCTCTCACTGGCAGTGTCTGTCTTGCTTAGGGACACAGAGTGCGGTCACTGCTCTTAGTTACTAAAACATCTCGCAGTCGGCACAAGCACCCACCTCATGGGTCCTGACCAGCACCCACTCCCAGATGCCAGCCTTGCTAAATGCACCTACATGCTCCTTCGTGCTTCAGGGCAGGTTAATCATGAAGAAGGCGCTACGAAATCCCCAGGACCTAGTTCAGAAATCACTGCCTCGCCAGCCGCACCCTGGCTCTGTCCCTCCCACCGCCCCACCCGTGTTCTCTCGCTGGTCCGTGCCACATGATAGCACATCCTGCTGTGTGGTCTGTGGACGCCCTGCCTGTCACCCCAGGCTTGGCGACGGTGGGGGCTGCATCATGGGCCCATCGCCCCTGGGAGCCTGTGTGAAGTAGGCTGGGAGTAAGCAACCATTTCATGGCAGAGTCCGCAGTGCTGGGCCGGGGATGAGAACTTGCTGCTTTCCAGCTCTCTGCTTTGCTTGGCTGTGAGAAGCACAGATGCCTGGGGGCCTGCACTAATGCTTTTCCCTCTTCTGGCAGATATGGGAAGCCATCAACTCGGGCGCTGCTCTCGAAAACCCTGTCCTCCTCAACAAGTTCCTTCTCTTAACATTTGCCGTAAGTAAATGGACTCCGGGTCTCACTGACATTGCTGAAATGCCTGGCCAGGCCCCAGGTGCTGACCGAGCAGATGGTCTGCTCTCTTGTCCCGGAAGGTCTCGCTGGTAGAAGTTACAGCCATTAAAGAAAGGCTCGTTAGATTTGCAGCCAGATAGAACTGGCACTCCTACCAGCGCAAGTTAATTCGTGCTAGTGGTAGTTGCATGGTTTGCCCACAGTGCCCACCCTCATCGCTCAGGCCATGATAAACTCAGGGAGTGGTAGCTGCTGTTAATGTCTTTGTCAGATAGGTCCTGCAGAGCTCAGTGGTGAACCAGTGACATGAGGTAATGACTAGGGTTCTCAGACATCCCCCCAAAAGTTCTGGGCTCCAGTAGTCTGCATAGCTTGTCCACACAATCATGTTCTTGTAGGAAAGAAAGACGTTTTCTGTAAGTGAGAGCTAATTAAAATGAACATCAAAGGCAGCTTTGACAAAGTTGGGGGCCATACTATAGGAACACCTGCCCTCCAGAGAAATAAAGGGAAGGAAGAGAGAGGACCCAGTCTTAGTGGTGAGGAAAGTGGGGGAGAAGTAGGGCCGGTGGTGGAGAGCTCACACGTGCACATAGGTTACGTACATACACGTATGTGGGCGTGTGTGTGTGTGTACATCCCCTATAATTATGTTGACTGGATAGTATGCAGCAGACTATTTTAGGTCATTTCCAGTATTGACCATTATAAAAACACCCGTTGCAGTGAACAATATTGGTCCTACTGATTTTTTTCTACTCATTTTATTTTTGAAAACATGCTTTGCTGTGAGTGTACGAACACACTGATGTTGACATGTACGGAAGATGTCTTTTCACAGTAGCTTCATCAGCTGAGGCTGTTAATGCTCTTGCCAGTCTTCTTGCTTCTCTTCCATGTTGTGTGTCCTCCTCCCCACGAACTAATCCTCCATTCCCCTGCACACTCTCACTCTGATTTTCTGCTGAAGGCCAGGGAGAGAATGGCCAGAATCAAACTGGAAGCCGCAGCAGAGGTGGCAGGTTACAAGGGCACATCTTCTTACACTTCTAGTGCTTTCTGTGGGATAGTGGGCAAGAGAAATGTTTAAATTCTTGGGAATCGAAGGCACTTTGTCATTCTGGACTTGTTGGCCTATTTCAGTGATTTTGTAATTTCACCACTGGGAATAGTCTCCTATTTCTGGATTTGTTGCTTTAACCCCAGTCTCTCTACTGTACCAAGAATTTTACCAGAATCTAATTGGCAATTCACCTTTGATGAGAAACATGATGTTAGTTCTCATTTATAGTTCTAAGACATCTCGGAGAGGGCGTATGTTTATTGGCCTTGCTTTTACTGAGCATTCTTATCCGGCCTCATAAATGTTAAGTAAACGTAGCTATCTTTTAAAATCTCCAGATACAGAGGACTCTTAGGTTTAATTTAACCAACGTCCTATGTATCTGGGAAAGAATCCTAAGAAATTGAAGCCGTTTGACTTTAGAAGACGGCCCGATCAAGTGCCTGAGAAGCAGTGCCGCCTTCGTCTAGAATCATTTAACCTTTGGTGAGACCAGTTATGACAAATCATTTAAGCACAAAGAAGGGATGGCTCTCCGGAGGTGTGTTTGCTTTTCTCTCAGCTATCTTTAGGACTCCAGGCACAGACACTTCATTAATTTCATTTTGTGGTTTGTTTGGCAATTGTGAGAAGGGCGTCTGTTCTTAGTTGATCAGATAGTGGCAGAATTAGAAACTCTGGAAGCTGTAATTGCTGGACTTTCATTTATTATAAGTTAATTTTGAAATGTGGACACACATTTATTATAAGCTTATGTTGAACAAGTTATCTATGATCTTATCTATATGAGAAGTCGAGAACATGCAAGGCCCGGTAACAGAAATGGATTGGTGGTTTCCAGAGGTCAGGGGAGGGAGGAGGAATAGGGGGGTTTTGTGAGTATTTTTAACTAATAATCTAATGGGGAATTTCTGCTAATGGGGTTTCTACACTTGATCATAGCCAAAAGGCCAAGAAGTGATCTGCTAATGGGGTTTCTTTTAGGGGTGAAGAAACATTCTGGAATAGTGGAGATGGTGTCAGTAGATTAGCTATACTCACATGTACTTTAGTGTGAATTATTTCTATGTGAATTATATCTCAGAAACTCATTGAGCTTTTTATTCATAGCAAAATTCAAGAAAAGAGTCATCAACTAAATAAGCCACTTTGATGGTCATTAGTGGGGCAGCTGTGTGGAACCTGGTCCCAGCCCAAGCATAATGCGGGCCCACATTGCTGTGGGAACTCAGGAGCAAGAACCCTCAGCCAGAGTGGGGACAGTATCAAGTACATGTTCAACACTCATCACCCCTGGTCACTTCCCCTGGCGGGGGAGCAGTCGGATACAACCCCCCAGGTGTAACCTTGCAGATTCTTGATGCTCCTGAGTTCTTAGAACTTCTCGTGTGAGCCTGACAGGTAGTCATGTAATCACTTCGTCTGCTGCATGCATGAATGAGCTGCCCGAGGATCTAAATTTCATTAACCTTTTTGTCAAGATGTCTAATCTACTTCATACATGGCAAGTGCTTATAGTAGTTGGCTTGAAATACTAATAAGGTGTTTCTAAAAGCAGGCTGCATTACCTGGGCCTGTGTACCCAGGTGCCTTGATGACCCAGCAACCCTGTTGACCTTTCCACCCCTTTGATTGTGAGGGAGTGGCAGCCGTGTGGTTTGCAGGGTGCGCCCCGATGTGCGGTACACTCCTGTGGATGTACCGTGGGCAGATGTTTACAGTTTGGAAGCAGACTTCTGATCCTCTCTCTCCACTTGCTGTTTTATTCTGACTTTGTGCTTCAGTCTTTTGTCTCTCACTTGCACCCAGGGTGGTCGTGTGTATTAAATGATAATGACGATGTTGTCTGCTGTGCACTGAACACTCTCTGTAGCTAGTGGCTAGAAAGCCTATTATTTTGATCCCGACTTGTTGGTGTGTGTTGTGTGACGCTGGTCATCTCTTCCGTGCATCAGTCCTCCTGTCTCATGTCGCTGTGGAAAAGTGACGTGATCAGATGTGCCTCGGTGTTGTCATTGGTGCTATTCTGATACCCTCTGTCATGCCCCTTTTTCTAGGATCTGAAGAAGTACCACTTCTACTATTGGTTTTGCTGCCCTGCGCTCTGCCTGCCAGAGAGCTTACCCCTCATCGAGGGGCCTGTAGGCTTGCAGCAGAGGTTTTCGCCAAAACAGGTATGAAAGCAAAATGCATGCGCAGTTGGGTTTTACAGACACAAATAATGACCTAGTTCTTTCTGAAGACAAAGAGGTGGCCACTTCAGAACTAGTATCGCGTGAATGAATTTAAATGGGGAGAAGGACCTTAGTGGGAAGACTGCTGGCGGGTGCAGGGCTTCTCTGGGGGCATGAAGGCGCTCTCAGATCACAGTATGCCAACAGCCTTGAAGCGCACAGCTGTGCTGGTCAGCTGTGCGGCTAGTGAGGCGGGTCTCCTCAGGCCGTGGAAGCTGGTGCACGGCTCTGGGGAAAATTCACCAGTGCGGGGCCCAGGCTGGCTGGCGAGGCCAGAAGCACCCTTTGGCTGTTGCTTTCAGCCCTCGTGTTGGCATCTTAGGGAACCCCTGTGCCCTTGTCTGAGACCCTGGGCACGTGGAAGGGCCCATAAAAGTGAAACCGAGTTGTTTTTATATTCATTTGCTGCAGAAGAATAGGAGTGTGATCAATTATTTCCAGCCTTCTGTTTTAAAGTCATTTTCTAGTGCAGAGCTCAATATGTGATTATCTGGAGAGTAACTCAGTGTTTCCTGATTTCAGATTCAAGCCCTGGAGCATGCATATGATGATCTTTGTCAAAAAGAAGGGGTCTCAGCCCTACCTTACTTCTTAGTCAAGTATGATGACAACGGGGTGCAGGTTTCCTTGCTTAAACACTACAGCGATTTCTTCCAAGGTCAAAGGACAAAGGTCAGAGAAACTGAGTATCATTTGTTTTCCAGTAAAAGGATTTAAAAATCGAATGTTCATATTGTGAGTGACAGCTGCGAAATTCCAGTTCTTTTAGATTCCTCTCGGTCACCACACGATGTATCACTTTCTCTCACTCCTCAGGGTGATTTTGGATTGCTCATTTCCCATTAGCGTAAAGTAATTTCTGTTTTTCTCCTGATCTATTTTATGTCCATGTTTTAACTTACTCCCAGAAACAGCACTGCAGTCCAGACCCTGGCTTTCTTCCTCTGGTCACTTAGTCTTCTGGCTTCTGCTTTGCAGAGCACCAGAGAGAGCTCAGAATGTTCCTCAGAATGTTCACATTCACCCTCACTCATTGGTCAAGAGTTCAGGGTAGCTTCCTGCCGGCTGCTGGCCACCTCCTGCACTCCTGTGCTCCAGCTAAGTGTGTCTGGTCTTCATTAGGCAGCTCCCAGCCCCAGTAAAATATACCTAGAACTTTTTTGTGTTTTTCTGAAACATTCTATTGTGGAAATCCTAGGAAACTCCCTGTCCTTGTTGAAATCCTCCGCCCTCGTCTTCTGAGACAGCACGTGCTCCGTCGCTTTCTAAGCTCACTGCCCTTGGCCCTGTGCCTAGTCGCTGCTCTGCTCCCTTTGCACGTGACTTCTGGGCTGTTAGGCCGTGAGCTTCTCGAGAGCAGTGGACATGTCTCCTGTCTGCCTCCTGGTATCTCGCACTTGTCTTCTCCATCAATAAAATTCTTTTGAATAAATGAGAGTTCTGTCAGTGTTTTTAGCAGTAATGAGATTATATAATAAGGTGTTTTAGGCACACAAGAGGTCATTAATCAAAAGTATTGAAAAGTATTGATGTGTCTTATACGCAGGCTACATTCCCTTCCTAATCTGGACTGGGGAGAATTAAGAAAGGATAGCTATTTATAGGCCTTGTGATGTTTTACTCACATTGTGATTGTTCCTGCTATATTTTTTCAGAATGAGTTTCTTAATTTGTAATTTCAAAAGAAATTTTTTTTCCACAAAAAGTCTCCAGCTACTCTATAAAAATGGAATTTTGAGGCCCTGAATTATGTAGCCAACATTGCATTTACCAAGAGAGACAATCTTTGTTGTCTTTTTTGTTTTTAAAAAAATCTGAAGAAACAAGATGAGGTTGCCTTAAGAGAAGCCCCCCCTCCCCTCCCCCTGAGATTTGCAGGTGATTACTTCAGCAGCCTTAGGAAGGCTTGACCTGCTCCTTAATTGTGTTTTCCTTAAATTAAAGCTTGATAGCAAATGCGCCTTTGATTGATTTCTTCTTGGTGCCCAGGGGATCTGAGTGCCCAGCTTCTTTGTGACTTGGAGCCACAGTACAACCCAATGATCAGCTCTAGGCGTTTGTTCAGGTGTGGACACACCATGACATGTAACTGAAACAAAACTTCCACAACATATTTTCCTAGGTGCTGTGCTCTCTATTTTCTTTTCTTTCTTTCTTTTAAAGATTTACTTATTTGTGCATGCAGGCCAGAGGTGCAGGGACAGTGAGAGGATTTACCAGAGACAGAGCGGAGAGCAGAACAGGCAGATGGACGAAGTCTGCTGCTGAGGGGAGCAGCGGGCGGGTCAGGAGAGGTCTGCCGCGCCATGTGGGTCAAGTCCGGGGCGGGGATCAAACTCGCACTGAAGTAGTTGTGGCCAGCTTGCAGTGCTGCGTCCTAACGTGTTGTGCCACCAGGGAGGGCCCGCTTCCTATTTTCTATCCTTTTCTGTTTTATCTGTTTGGGAAGTGGAGCTGTGACCAGCGTGTGGTTTGGGGCCCTCTACTAGCTCACCAGCCATGGTGGGGACGGGGCCGCTGCCTGTTTGGAGAAGCCTGGCCTCTCTGAGAGCTACATGAGGCCCTGGCCATTCATTATTTTTGTTTCTGGCTGAATGTTCAAACCTCACACAGAAGTTCAACTATTAGTTTAAGGTTTTGAATTTTTGTAAGTAAATACTTTGTACATATCCTGCTAATCTCTTTCTGTATGTTTTTTTGAGATACGGTTGCACTGTTTTCTGTTTGGGTTTATATGCTTGAAACTCTGCATCAACATAATTTTTCACAGAAATGTAATATTCTTGGCAGTTTTGGGGCATTGATGTTTCTCATAAATCTTTACTATTAGGAGGTTGTGTGGGAAATTCTCTGTCTTCGTGTGCCCTTCCCGGACCTCCATTTTGAATTATTTCCTTAGAAACTATTTCTAGACAGAGTTACTGAGTCAGCAGTTAATGGTTTGTAGTCTGCCCTGCGCTGCTAACTGTCCAGCAGCTGGCTCTCGGAGTGGGGGTGAGCCCTGGTTTCAGAGTGGGGGCTTATTTCCATGCTGTCAGCCCTCCCACCGGGGCCAATTCGAGCTGTGTGTGTGACGGGACGTGATGCAGGGGTAGGACAGGGTGGTACCTGTGGGCCTGCCCAGGCCACAGCCAGCCTGCTCTGGCACAAACTGCTTGTGTGACTGTCACCCAGACTGCACCCTCCTCAGCACTGGGTGCTACATCTTTTTACCATCTGGGTCCTTTGAAAATGGCCCTGTTTGAGGTCTTCAGCCCCCGTTTAAGTTTGCCTTCCGTCTGTGACATGGCTGCCAGGGTGCCCCATACCAAGATTCGCGTCCCTGCCACCTGTTGACCATGGAGCCCGCATTGCTACCCCCAGGCCAGGCCTTTGGGAATGCTCACTTGAACCTTCTGCTTCCTTCAGAGCACTGAGTAAAGATTGAAGATTTGGGAGATGTTTTGCCATTTCAACATCAGGTTTTAATTCTGGGGCTTCAGAATCTAAACAAGAGCAGCGCAGTGGAGTACCACAGGTGCTATGACCTGGGCACTTTTCACAGGTGATCCTCTGGGTCTCTGCCATGGCCTCTGACAGGCCGAGCAGTAGACATCTCTTAAAGCAAGTCATCTCTTTGTGCGCTTCCTGTTCTATGAAGCGTTTGGGTAATAGGGAGCCATTTGTCAGATAAGCGTATTTTATGGGAGCAGTGTGACTTCCTCAGCTGAAGACACTCAAGTTGACAATTTTGCCCCCTTTTCATTCCCACATTATGCTTTTTTAGTGAATGGCTGAGTGGACTGTAGCCAGATCATGAATGAAGCATTTCAATGAATTCTGTGCTCTTAGCCAAGGAGAAAGCAGGGTTTCTTTCATAAATCTTCTAACCCAAGTTTTTTCCCCACTTACATTTTGCCTCTTTCCTCTCATTTGCATTATAAAAGGTAGTGATTTGCCCAAGTTTACCCAATGGATTTGCCAGAAAGCCAGTCTGGAACCTAAAATCCTAGCCAATGATGAGTTCTGGCTGCAGCTTTTTTTTTTTTTTTTAATGTAATAGTTTATTTTTACATCATTTTGTCCCTTTTCCCATCTCAGTTGTAATCCCCGTGGGCCATCACCCACGTGCCATCACCACAGTCCAGTGTGCTGCCCCCTCTCCACCCCCACCCCGTTTTTGATCCCATTCCCCACTCTACGCCGGTAAAATGTCTCTGGTATATAGTTGTTCATTATTATCTTTTTTCTCCCTGGTCCTTTATATTCCTGCTATATAACCATCTGGTATTCTTTTTCTTTCTGGCTTATTTCACTAAGCATGATCCATCCATGTTGCTGCAAAAAGCATGTGTTTATCTCTTTTCGACTCCATTGTGTATATGTACCACATCTTTTTACTCCAGTCATCCACTTTTGGGCATTTGGGCTGTTTCCATGTCTTTCCCATTGTAAATAAAGCAGCAGTAAACATGGGGTGCAGGTCTGACTGCTGTTTTTAAGTCTGTTTACCCACAGAGTTGGACAGGCTTATCCAGGCCTCTGGATTAAGTCCTCCAGTAGGAGAGATTCCTGGTCTGGATCCTGATGGTCTTTGGGATCATCAAAGAAGCAGTAAATGATGTTTAGCCTGCTATAAATGGATCTGCCCTTTCCCCGTCCAGGCCCTTGCTTTTCATCCTCCCACACGCACGCCTGGTGTGGGCAGCGCAGCTCTTGGCGAGTATTCTCAAGATGACCTCCCCTCGTGGATGAGGAGATTCCTCTCAGCCAGTTGTGCCTGTCTTAGGTCAGGTTGCTCTAAGAAATACATTCTCGATCTTTTCTGCTTAAAAAATGATTCTCTTATTACCTTCCTACTTCATTGCCTTTATATTTAGTATCAGAAATACACTCTTTGAAATTAGGCATCGACTCGTAGTGTCTAATACAACGTTCTAACCGATATGACTTATATATCCCTTAGTCCCAGTCCCACATTTGCTGATGATAAAATGTAGACCCAAGCATGTTGAATTAACTAGAACTTAACTCTTTTCTCTCCTGGTTAAACCTTGATACCAAAGGTAGGTGACTTTGTAATGGCAATAGCTTGAACTAATTAAAGACCTACTCTAGTAGATTTATGGCTTGTTCTAGTTACCAGGTGTTGGGTGCGTGCTTGTTCCCAGTCTCCGCTGAGTGCAGGCAAGAATCATCCTCCGCGTGGGAAAATGAAAGCACAGACCAGGCAGGTACATTGTGGCAGGTCTTGTAAGATAAGTGGCTGACATCTGATAAGAGGCCAGGTCTGAGGGGTCACAATTGAAATTAAATCTCAGCTTGTCTTTACTAATGACAGTTTCAAGGTGGATATGATTTAGGTTCTTCTTAAGTAAGCAGCCTTTAGACACCATGTAAAATTGAGTGTAATATAACCTGGGTTATTTTTTGAACTTTGGAGTACTTTTTTTATTTCATATTCTTTAAAGTTCAATAATTCTATCATTCTGGAGCTAGAAAGAACTTTTTAAAATTAATTGATTCGGCCTCTTCATTTTGTAGGTGAGAAGAGAAGTTTCCCAAAGTCCTAAAATCACTTACCTGCAGGTGATCCTGTCTGGGCTTTTTTTGACGGGTCAAGACATTTTCTTCTTTGAGGTTGTTTCACATGTAATAGAAATAAAATGTCCATTTCTCCCTTTTCCCCCTGTTCTTGCTGGGTAACAGATTTGCAAATTCTACAAAGAATTCTTGGAAATGTAAACTTGAGGTGATGGTCACCTGTGGATGTAGCTTCTCTAGCAGATACTGTGTCATGATTTGCAGAGAAAACACACAAGGGGGCTCACGGGGGGTTGGGGAAGAGTGGCCAGAACTTCTGGAAGGCAACTTCTTCATCCTTCCCTGGGACTGGAGAGCTCCTTGAGGCCATTCTCCCACCTTCTGGCCGGGGAAAGTCCCACTGTCAAATGCCACTTAATGGAAAGCCTAGAATGTTCAGAAAGGAAAGAGGGGAGGAAAGGAATTCACTGAGTTGCAGATTCTAGTTTTGTATGGAAGCTTCAGGTCTCTGGGTCAGGCCTCCCCTCCCCCCCTAGCTGTCGCCCACCATCCCTGCCCGGGAGGAGGTGCGGGTACAGTCCCTCTATTGGGGCATGGAGGAATTGGCCAAGGCTGTCACTTTTCAGCAAATATTTGCTGAGCATCTGGTGCTGTTCAGGTCCTAGGGGTGGAAAGGTGAGGACAGTGGACACTGTTCCTGCCCTCGCAGAGTTAATAGACCAGCAAGAGAAACAGATGGGAAATGCATCCTGTGGTTTCTTTATTCTAAAATGCTTTTCTCTTCGTATTTTTAAATTTTCTGACTTTAGAAATTTCTTGCAATTATTTTTGTGTATTTAATATTGCCCCCTCAGTACATGTCTCATTCCTAAGTATAGGAACTCAGGGTGCCTTTGAATCAAGAAAACAATAGAGGTTGCACAAATAATCACAGATACCAGAAGGAAAAAAGGGGTACAGAGAGCCCAGTTTTAAACCAGCACTCGTTTCCTCCCCCTGAGCCCAATGGTGAGCTCCAGCAGCAGGGTGGAGGCGCGGCTCGTCCCTGCCGGCGCTAGTGCGCTAGTGCCAGGAGCCAGGGTGGGTCAAGGAACAGTGACTTTGAGGCAGGTGGTCTGTGCCCAACCAGACTCAGCGAAACTACTGCTGAGTCTCAGGTTGCTCCTTTGAATCACCCAGGGACTGTTTTAAATGACTGATGCTGAAGCTGCACCCCAGGCTAATGCAACGAGAGCCTCCGGAGGCAGCACAGGGGTGCAGAGAAGAAAGTGACAGCCCTGCCGTCCCCTGCTGTCACAGAGTTCTGTCACCTAGCCCGAGATCCATTTGCTTTCTTCTCTTTTTCTGCAGGAGAAGGAAAGGGGGGGTGTCAGCAATGTCTGTGTATGAATCCCAGGGGGTACCTGACTCCAACTCTTTTCTGTTCACAGATAACAATCGGTGTATATGATCCCTGTAACCTAGCCCAGTACCCTGGATGGCCTCTGAGGAATTTTCTGGTCCTTGCAGCCCACAGATGGTATTTACATGTATCTATCTGTCTGTTTTTCACGTGTCTGCCTGTGTCTGTTTTCCCAAACGCTTTTTTTTTCTCATGGAAATGAGATAAGTTATTCAATGAGTCATGATCTCATTTCCATCACCGGTGAGCCTGTACCAGGCTCTTCTGAAACTTCAAACTTTGACCAACTGCACTAAAGATGTTCTAGAGTAAGGCAGGCCACACGGCCAGTGTGGCAACCCTGAAATTTCCTAGCTTTCCCGCTTGCTTGGTTCACTTTCAGATAGGATTTTCCTGGTGATACCATCATCCTTCCCACTCCCCCCAAAAAATTAAACCAAATCTGTCCACAAGGCTAGTGCACATTTGAAAAGAGGGCCAACAGCATTAGTTATTAAGGAAAAAATAAAATGAGCTATACTTATACTACTCACTCATAGAGCTAAGGTACATTCATCAGATACTACTGCAGCATCCATCAGAATGATGGGGAAAAAATGCCAGGACAGGTGGTGGAAGGTGGGGGGCAATTAGAACACCCAGAGATGCCAGAGATCTGGTGCAGCCGATGCAGTGTAAAGTACCCATGTCCTAGCCAGTTCCTCCTCCTCAGATAAGTCCCGCACAGAAACACAGGCTCCAGATGCAAGGCAGACTCGCGAGAATGTTCACGCCAGGGTTATTCTCATAACCAAAAGCTAGGGATACCCAGGCATCCTCCAGCAGTGTGGAGTCGTGTATTCACCGCAGGGAAAGGCTGGGCTAGTGGAACCGAGGCAGGCAGTGGTCCGTCTTACCCGCATTTTACGAGCATCATGTTGCGTGACCTAAGCCAGACCTAAAGAACGTGTGCATGATGATGCCATCTTGTATAAGGGTCAAAACTGGTAAAACCCATGTGGACCCAGAAGTTAGAGCAGTCGGTACATTTGAGGGGGATGGCAATGACTGGAGAGGCAGAAGGCAAGCTCCTTGTTATTTAGGAGTTGTCTACTTGTCTCTGTCTCTGCTTTACTTAAATAGAAATGTTAACTTGAAAAAGGAAAAATGGCAGAGAGCTAAATGATACCAGTCCCCAGAGGGAGAGCCATTACCTGCCGTATGCAGGCAGGCCGTCTGTGCGGTGCAGATAGGTTCCTGGCTACTCTGAGGTGTAAGTTCAGGTGGGGAGAAGGGGCCCAGAATGCACCTGTGTCTTCAAGGCTATTCCCCCCCTGCACCTAAGATTCACCTGACAGTTGTTTATGCGCAATGCGATTGTTCTGTAAGGAATCACAGTTCAGCATTCAGGCTCTAAACAGTGGGACAAAGTGAGCCGACTGGACCGCCCACTGCCTTTCGGGGTCACTCCCCATGGGTGTCAGGGAGGTAGAGTTACAGGGAACTGAATTCTCGGCTGCTGGATTTGCTGAAGCTCTCACTTGAGCTCTTTTCTCTTCTTAAAAAAAAAATTTTTTTTAAATAAATAAAAATCCAAACCTGACAACAGGAGTAGCAGTTTCCAGTCTGTTGAAGTCCTCTGCTTCCGGGACCGCACCATGCAGGGCGTGAGAGAAGTGGCTCACAGCATCATCTTCGAAGTGAAGCTTCCAGAAATGGCATTTAGCCCAGGTAATCTGCTGGTTTTGAGAATGCATGTAATTATCACTTATCAGGCACCCAATGGGTCTGACTTACCTTTTATCCCTTCACAATGGCAGCAGCAGGAGGAGAAAGGGAACACTACCTGGCTGCCAGTGTGAACACCTCCCTTGGCCAGAGGGCACGCAGCTTTTCACACAGAAACAAAGGCAAAGATTGTCCTCAGGAAAGGTCCTCAGGCAGTTTTCTCTTCCTTGAGGATCTTTTCCCCAACCCCCAGCTTTTGTGTTTGCTTAACTTAAAGTCTTTATTCCTGGCTCTTAAGAGAGGAATGAAGTGTTAATGCACTTTCATGTTCATTTCTTATGAGAAGTTGTGTGTGAACTTGTCCTCCACACAGCAAACCAGTCAGCAGAATCGCCATTTTTCTTGATGCACACAGTGGTCTTCTCAGGCCTGGGGGTAGACACCAGGTGTCATCCCATTCATAAACTAGGGCACTCAGTCTCACGGACCTGTGTCTGAGAGAGGCGTGTGTGCACAGACATTTGGTTTATACTTCTCTGCATGTCACAGACACGCCCTCAAGTCTGAGTAGAGATGATCATGACACCACCTCAGGGAGGCTCCCTGGGGAGGAATTTGTGCAGAAGACAGAGGGTAATATCTGGCATACTGGAGGTGCCCAATAAATGCTCATTTTTGTGACTCAAGCTCATGCAAAGCTCAACACTTTCCAAATGGTCGCTGGGGACCCTGGGGATGCCAGCGTACATCCACACACATCGTTTCATTTGCCACTTATGCCATCCCACCTGTTCAAGGTACTTCTTCGCCTTGCCTTACACCACAGGGTGTCTTAAAGTGTGTGAGGGCAGGGGGTTAAAATCTCTTCTGAGATGTCATTTATAGAGTGCAGAAGTCAAAAGGGTTCAAGGGCTCCGGACTGGCTCTCAGGGCATTTATCAGTGATTCTTGACCGCAGCCCTGCCCTGATATCTTAAATTCACTTTCGGAAAGATGGACAGAGCGCTGGGCTTGGTGAGCCAGAGGAAATGTGTTGCTCTCTGCGGCCAAGAGATATTTGTGTTTGACCTAGCGCCCTCTTCTGGCACAGTTTAAAATAGCTTCCGTGTCTTGCCAGTTCAAGACCTGTGTTTTATTAAGCCATGGCTTGGAAATAGCTCTAGGAGCAGGTGAGCTAGGAAGCAGTGCACTTGTCAGTGCCTGTCGGCCACCAGGCACCTTCCCACACAGTCCTGCCAGCCAGCCACTTTTGTTTCCGTTCTCCCATCCAAGTATTAACCAGGCCCGACCCTGCTTAGCTTCTGAGATCAGATGAGATCGGGCGCGTTCAGGGTGGTATGGCCGTAGACTTGTTTCCTTTCTTATGAGAAAGTCTTCCAATGTTAGATGAAGGTAGCAAACTTGGAAAAGCTGTACATTTGCATTCGAAAGTCCCGTACCTCTATACATCTTTATGCTTGAAATTGAAAGCAGATGCTTTATTTTAGGAACCTCAAAATTTCCGACAAGTTCGTGTTTTCCTTAGCTGGAAAGAAAACTTTTATAAACTTATTCAAGTATTTTCCCATGTTTTTATTTTGCTTTTAAGATTTATTTATTAATGCATACAAAACTGGGGTACAGGCCAGAGGTGCAGGGGCAGTGAGAGAATTCACCAGAGGCAGAGCAAAGAACAAAACAAGCAGATCCGGAGATAACACTGCTGAGAGAAGGGGGAGGGGGTCTGCGCGAAGCGGTGGAGAGGGTGGTATAAGGAGGGTTCTGTTACCCCATGTGGGTCACCTCCCTGGCCAGGGATCAAACGCACATTGAAGCGGCTGCCCAAGCTTCTCAGTGCTGCGCTTTAACCTGTTGGCGCCGGGGAGGGCCCAGTGTCAGTGTTTCTAAGAGACCCTGCGTTGCGCTGGCATTGGCACAGGGCGTCTCACCTAAATATCCTGTCTCTTCCTTTGCACCACACGTGAGCCAGGCATACTGCTCCGCAGAGTGCCGGGCAGCTCTGGGGCCACATGTACTGCTGGGGATGGGGGTCCCCTTTTCGTTCCTATCCCTGATTGCACCTCCCGTTGGCCCAACTCTGAGACTGCTGGTCTCGTTCTCCTCTCGAAACCATTTTCTCACTAGTTTGAGGCATGACTCTGGATGCAGATCATATGAAGGAGATGTGCTAAGTCATCTATCACGGTTCTATGTAGCGTGTTTCCATTACTTTGATTTTCATTATCAATCATTTAGAAATAACTAGAACATACTGCGTGCAGCGGTGTTTTAATTTGCAATGATTTGTGCTGTGAGGTAAGCATTTTTTATTTTATGTAGTAATCGCGAGGAAATCAAACAAAATATGAACTAGTAATAGGCCTGCACCTTTTTTTCCCTCAGAATGATACTTTTCAAGCTCTTAACCTCTTTAGGAACTCAGATCTCTAATCTCAGTTTTCATTTTTATGATATTACAAGAAAAGGAACACTCCAAAGTCCCTGATGGTTACAAGGGAATTTGCGCCCAGCCAAGCTGGCGCCCAGGCAGTCTTGCCTGGTGGTTTCCCGGGCACCTACCCCAGCAGGAGAGACCAGAAGAGAGCAGCACCACAGGCCGCCACATGCTGAGCACTAGGATTTGTGATAGACAAAGGTCAGCAGCTGAGCTTTCCCCAGGAGAGGAGACTGGTGTGGGCTCCACATCTGAAGGCAGAATTCCAATAGAGAAGCAGCGTGCAATTAGGAAGAAAGCAACCCCCCCCCCCCCAACAGCCCTGTGCGTCTCACTCCCAGTCAAGGAAAATCTGTTCTTCCAGAAACTGTCACCCCCAGCAGAGGTTGGAGGTGATCCGCAGGGTAGGTCGTGCGGAGTAAGTCCCTGCTTTGTTGGGTGATTCAGTGAGGAAGGGAACGTGACAGCTCCGAGCGTGGGAGGTGAGACAGTGGTGGCCCCATGTCAGGATGGTCTCCCCAAGGAAGCCAGGTTTCCACTACAGAGAGCTCGTAAGAGTCTTCTAGAAAGCCTATGAGGTTTCTCAAGAGGATTTCTCCAGCAGCAGAATAGAGCAGCTTGCATATGTCCCGTGAGACTTTAACTGGTGGTGTGGGGTGAGGGAGAGAGATGCAGAGCCAGGGACATTTGCAGAGCCAAGCAGATGAAGTGATTCCCTTACCTCAGGCTTCTTGGAGCTTGAGTCTCCCTTGTGGGCAGAGTGAGCCCCGGGGTGGGGGGCGGTGGAGGGGGTCGATGTGGGCAGAGGAGCCCTCTCCAAGTCCAGTGGCCACGGGCCCTTAACCTCTGGGGGCACCACAGGCACGTGCTGACAGCCGGTGTTGCCTGTCGAGGCTCCCACAGCAGAGGATCAGGAGGCCAGCAGAGGGGGTAGTGGGGACCAGGGAAGCCTGGCTGGATACAGATGGGTTTAAAGAGGAGGGCAGTATACAGGGCCACCCCCTGGGACTGTTATCTGCCCCCAGGTAGGTGACAGTCTGAGTGGAGGGACTTAGAAGGATGAGGAACAAAAGGGACAATTGCAAAGGTTCAAACCCCAGGGGTGCTTGAACAGAACTTCGGTGTGGTCACACTGGCTTGCCTGCCTGGCTGAGGAGCCTCCAGGGCTGACCCCCCCCCCCCCCCCACATGACCGGCTTTGCAGTCACTTCAGTCCTGCAGCCGCTCAGGCTGGAGTCAGGAGCTACCTCAGAAGCCCTTCCACTAGGCCGGCCTGCTGGTATGTAAAGATTCCCAGTGGCTGAGGACAGTGGGGCGGGAGCTGCGGCAGACGATGCAGGCCCTGACCTCTCCGAGAAGGAAGTGAACCACGGGCTTGTGGGTGCACGGGCCAGCTTGCTGTGGACCCGCCGGAGCTCACCCTTCCCTCCTTCCCAGTTCTGACTATTCATTTTGTTTGCCTTAAGATTGTCCCAAGGCGGTCGGTTGGGAAAAGAACCAGAAAGGAGGCATGGGGCCGAGGATGGTGAACCTCAGCGAGTGCATGGACCCGAAAAGGTAGATTTGGAAGCTGCTTACTCCATGGGCTTTGTGCACCCAGGACGCACACGGGGTGTCGGGCCAAGTGCGTGCCCATTTGGCCCAGGGTGCCAGCCGCAGTGACAGCGAGTGGCCCTCCTCTCTGCTGCCTCTTAATTTGAAGTTTGGCTGTGAGAATACTGGTGGTGGAGACTCTGCAGGGCACCCAGCTATCAGTCCCTCCAGACGTCCTAAACTGTTCTTACCTCTCACCTAGACTCTCAGACCACCTTGTAGCCCTTTATTCATCCCACTTGAAATTTGTCCTGTCAGCCGACACTGAAGAAATCTTGAAAACCAGCCCTGCACTTGGGGACGGACATAAGTGTACCCCTTATTGAGAAGAAGGAACTTGTTTTCGGTATCAGGAAAAGTCAATGTGTCTTTGTTGCCAGACACCGCGACTCCTACACCTGCCTCCCTTTGTCCCTGTCTCAGCCCAGCATCACCAGTGTCCACCCTCTCTCTGGCCTGTGCTGGCCATGACGGGGGCAGGAGGGTGTGTGCTGAGTCTTTCCTCCTGCCCATCACCTGCATGCTTCAGTCTTCCTTTGGTCCTGATTTCCTTGGCTTTGTTTCTTGTTTCCTCATACAGCTACTCTCCACCTGAAACAGAAGATTGAGGTGTGAAATGAGCAACTGGCTGAATAAATAAACACTTCTCTCATTTTCTAGGCTAGCTGAGTCATCAGTGGATCTAAATCTCAAACTGATGTGCTGGAGATTGGTCCCCACTTTGGACCTAGACAGGGTCGTGTCTGCCAAGTGTCTGCTGCTCGGAGCTGGCACCCTGGGCTGCAACGTGGCTCGGACCCTGATGGTGAGCGCGTGAGACTGAGGAGCTGGGAGGCTGTGGCTTCTCTTCGGGGGCCCCCCTCCCTTCACCCTCCCTTTCTTTTTTCTTTTTCTCCGTAGCTCTTTAATTATAAAAGGAATCCATGCTTTTACGAAGTATAGACAGAAGGCCCTCCCCACTCCCTTCCCCGTCCCAGAATTAAGGAGACACCTAGATGCATCTTCAGTCTCCTTCCCTGGAGTTTCTCTTGGGATGTACAAAGGGATGTTTGTGATCTTTGCTATTATTTATTTGTTTTGGATTATAGCATACGGTCTGTAACAGGTTTATATTTTTAACTTAATAGATAATTGTGGCTCATATTCTGGATATTCCATATCATTTATAGATTATATTTTGTTGTATGAATGTGTCCTCAATTTATAACATCAGTTTCAGGGTATTTTTCTTTTAGAGATGTTGTTGAAATGAACATTCTTGTACTGCATATCTTTAGGGATAAAAGCCCTAGACATGTAATTACTGTTAGAGAGAATGTGCAGTGTATATAGTTCTTCAAACTAAATTACCTTTTGAAAACATCCTAGAAACATGTGAGAAGCAGACTTTTTAATTTTGTATTGCTTTGGTTAGTATGGATGTCTTTCATTTGATTTCTTAATTTAATTTCTTCTATTTGTGCTCTTTGGGTTTTATTTCTTTTATTGACTTGGAGCTCTTTTTATAATGGGTCTTCACCTTCCTTCTGTAATGTGATACAAATATTTTCTCAATTTCAGCTATCTTTATATATACAGTGTTAAATTTTTGTTATTAAATATATCAGTGTTTATAGAACTCTTATTTTTGTATTTATATTTTTATCAATATGCAATTGAATTTTGTTTATGGTAAGAGATAAACACCTACCTTCTTTTCCACAAGGTGGATAATAATTTGTTTTGAGGGCATTTTGTCCAGTAAAGTAGTCTATCATTTTTCCACCTTTTTCCAGATACTAAATTACCTTGTATACCTGAGTCTCTTTATGGATTCTGTATTCTGTTTTGTGTTCCATTCATTTACCTCTACAGATTCCTACTCTGTTTTAATTAAAATGACAGTGAATTTGTAAATAACTTAGAGGGACAGACGTCAGTTCCAGAAGCACCATGTGTCTCCTAGATTAGCAAGATCACTTTTGTCTTTCAGCAGCATTTTTCTGTATAGGTCTTGCACATGTCTTACTTAGTGTATTTGTACATACTTAACAATGTTTATTTTTTTATTTTAGAGACACTTTTCTCACACTAAATCATCCAGTTCACTTTTTCTGGGCTGTAGGAAATAGTGGGTCTTGCATGTTTATCTTTCAGGTGAAGGACAAGATGGCCTAGTGATAGTAGTTTCTCCCTGGGCTCTTCAGGTCTTGGGGGTTGTAAGGGTGCCTCCCTAGCGTTTCTGCCTCCCTTTTTTTCCTGGTCTTCCAGAGCGGGTGAGAACTCCTTGGTGGTGTTAAGGAATAGCAGTGAGAACTGGTATCTTGGTTTTGTTGCTGGTTTTAGTAAGAAACTTGTTTTTACTTTAATTTTTGTGGTAATATTGGTTTTCTTCTAAGTTAAGGAAGCTGACTTCTGTTTCTACTTAGTTGTGAGTTTATATCAGAAATGACCATGGAACTTTATCAAATGCCATTTATCAAGATTATTTAAAATATCCTAATCCTTCTGCATTCTGAGAACAAGCCCTACTCTCTAGTGGTATCTTAGTCTTATATACAATGAAATACACTTGGCAATGTTTTATCTATAATTCCTAACATCTAGATTCATAAATTAAGCTGGGCTGCAGCAGTGTTTTCTTTGTGATGTATTTGTATCTGTTGCTCTGATTCACGGTAGCTCTGTGAAATACACTTCAAACTTCTCCCTTTATCTGAGCTTCAGAACAATTTAAATGTATAGCTATGTTCCTTGATTGGTAAAATTCAGTGATAAATCCAGCAGAACCTGGGAAGTTTGGGGATTTTAGTGGTGGTGGTGGAAAGCGAAGAACCCTGAAAGGTTTTACAAAGTATTCTATCTTGATTGGCTGTGTCAGATTTTATGTTGCTTTTGATTTACTCATTTTGTTTTCCTAGAAAATCATTCATTTCATCTAAATTTAAGAGTTAATTGACATAAAATGCATCTAGTATCTTCTTACCTTTCTAAGTCTCTCTGTCTTTGTTTTGATCTTTCCACATTCCTAATGTTATATATGTATTTTCTCTTAGACTTGTCTGTTTTATCAGTCTTTTGGATGCTTTGTTTGTTTTGCTTTCAGATTAGTTAATATCTACTTTTATCTTTATTGTTTTCTTCCTCTTGTGGGGTGGATTGTTCTTCTAGCTTTTGAAGTAGGTGCTTAGAGTGTCTTAACAATTGTACAGTCATTATGGACCCATTGTGAAAAATTTGTAAATGTGTAAAACTTGTAAAGCAGGAAAAACACCGTTTCCTACCACTTGTTCACTTCCTCTCAGTGTTCAATATACATTTAAAATGTTTTTGATATGTAATAATGTCCCTGCTTTCATCAACTAACATTGTAAACACTTTTTCTTGTCATTAAAAATGCTGCTGATAAAGCCTTTTTAATGGCTGAGACTATGCCTTTCTTTATGGTGAAACATCCTCTCCTGAGACCTCTTCCCACTGTGAGACCTTGTTTCCAGTTTTTCACAACCACACATCTTGTTGCAGAGACCATGTTGGGATTGCATATTTATCAGTATTTCAGATTCTTTCCTAGGATGGATTGCTGGAAGTAAGTCAAAGGATATCACTTGTAAAAATTTCTAGAACCGTATGTCAAATTGCCTTCCAGAAAAGTTACACCAGTTTACAACCGGTAAAATCATTTTTTCACTACCACATCCTCACCAGCATTGAGTATTGTAATCTTCTTTACTCTTTGCAGATTAGCCATTTAAACTGTGTAGCTTCCAGGAAGCCAAAAGTTAAGTGTGAAAGCCTTTTGCATGTGGCTACCCTAAGGCATGTGTGTAACCCTGCCAGCTTTTCCCCACTGCCTGGCATGTTCCCAGACCACCATCCTTGCTATCCACTCAGCATTGCTTTAGGGAATGCAGAAATACTTCAGAGGTAACTACCCCAAATTAAGTGGCATTTGGATTTTCCACACCTTCACTCCCCATCAGTGGTTGAGTACTTTGCTGGTAGAAGCAACGTGTGGCGAAGAGCTGCTAGTGAGCTTCAGAACAGGCTGCTGATCTAGACTGTGCTGTCTGAGGGTGGGTTCTGGCCTGTTGAGATCGACCCTGTAGACAGACCTGGGGTTCTCGACTATCCCCCTAGACTACCAATCTAATTGTGTTTCAGTCTCTGATGGAAGGGCAGTGACGTAAGAGAGAGCAGAATCTTCGTTCTGTAGCTGATCATGGCAGGACTTCCAGATCACTGTGATCTAGTGAAATACACACCCCTCCTCACCCCTCAAAAGGTATCTTCATTCAGTTGCAAATTGGAGTTTCATGCCCTCCCCACCATTAAGGAGATTTCTGACAGAAGATGAGCCACTTATCTTTTCTGAACTTCTGTCTTCTTGTCTACAAAAGACAGTCATTTGCACTAAGGATTTTAGAGAGCCTGTAAATGTTTCACTTGCAAGGTTCTTTAAGATGCTTTAGGTGATGTCATGCACGGAAGTGTACGCAAACTATTGCTGAAGCATAGGCTTGTCCCACATTCGGCCCCTTCGAGGAACAGGGCCAGATGGACAGTGTTATACGGTGGCAGAGAACCTGTAAATCAGTTTCCCAAGGAGTAAATTCAGACTTAAGTGAGTTTCAAGCTATTATTTGTGATTAATTAGTCAATAAGGAAAAGCAAGGGCTGTTGGGGGCAGTGGCTCATTCTTTTGAGTCAGCAGCATAGGCGATTCTTCTGCAACTGATCTCCCCTTCGCTCTCTGGCACCACCGTCAAAAATAATGAATTAACTTAGTGAGGCCCACGCTGACATTTCTCAGTCTCTTTACTGCAGGAAACCAGATCCTGGGCACGTAATTACTTGCCTTTTAAAAGAAGTTGACACTCTGTTTATCAGAAACTGAAGTTGCACAATTCAGTTTCTGAAGTTTCCTATATCATGAGACTCCCAAGCTGCTCCAAAGCTAAAACTCCTTCTAGGGATTTCGAGAGAGACGCCCTGGGAAACATTCATCAGAAACACATCATGATCTCTGTTTCTTTGCAGGGCTGGGGCGTCAGACACATCACTTTTGTGGACAATGCCAAGATCTCCTACTCCAATCCCGTGAGGCAGCCTCTCTATGAATTTGAAGATTGCCTCGCGGGTGGGAAACCCAAGGCTCTGGCTGCGGCAGACCGGCTTCAGAAAATATTCCCCGGAGTGGTAGGTTGCTGCTGCCTGGGAGTGTCGGTTTTCTCCTCTCTTCAAATGTATAGACTTGGGCAGTGCAGCGCTGCACGGCCAGGAAATGAGAGTCGGGCCACAGGCCCCTTCATGAAGTTGAACCTCGCTTTCCTTATTTTCTTGTCTTGGAGATAGGGATTCAAAACCAAATCTCACTTGTTACTCTGAAAATGAAATGAGGACTATGAAAAAATGTAAATTGCAAAGCATCGTCTTGAGTTTAAGGAATTTGCAAGTATACATATTTTTACATTCTGCCTTATTCACAGGGGTGCGTGGTGACTCAGATGTAGATGATTATTTTCCCTTCATCACTAGAATACTTGATGGTGACTTAGTGCAGCTTTATGATATTAAACTGATTGTCAGCCTGTGCAGTAGAAAGATCTGGCTAAAGGTTTCACTTAATACGCTCGCTGCTGCTTACTTCTGAGTTGCATCACTTACTTTAAAAAGCCCAGATAATAAGAGACAAGCCATTCAGCTCATTTGCTTCAAAATCTTGCCAGTTTTCTGAGGTCAGCCTGGAAAGGGATTTTACATCTTGCATGCTTAATCAATTTCTCTGACAGAGGTTAAGTTAGGTGTCTCCAAAGCATCTGCTTGTACTTAAGTGCCACAAGAGGTTCTCAGCCCTCACAAAACAAAACAAAAAACCAACAACTCACTTTCTCAAAGTTTTTCTATCTAGTTGCTCAGTATTTATTAGATTCATTCACCTTAGAAGACTTTGCTTCAGCTGCAACTTTGATGACTTGTCCTTTTTCCCAGTGTAGCTGAAGAATGACATTTCTTAGGTTCCACTGATAACCCAATTGTACCTAGATAGGTGCTGGACACCAAAAGAAGTAAGAATAAGCTACCACCGTGTCACTGGAAGGCACGTCAGTGACGTCAGCCACACTACTGCGTGTCGGAAGCCCGGCACCTCGGTGGCTGACGGGCTGGGCATCTTTCACACCCCCGGCCCTTCAGGCTGGCTGTGGTTTAGCTGTTGGGCTAGGCTGGGTTCAGGTGGGCCAGTCCATGTCCAGTCGGTCTTAGATGTTATTATTTCAAAATGTCGGCTCAACAAACAATGGCCATCAGGGTCCTGCTCTTCCTGTGGTAGCGGAGAGTAAAAGGACGTGAAAGTGCCACCTGTTACAGTCCCAGCTCAGTAGAGGCGCCGGGCCAGGTCCCCCCTCCACTGCCAGAGCCAGTCACAGGCCATGCCCAAAGCCAGGGCGTGGTCAGGATATCTGCCTTCTCCCTCATCCTCCACGTCGTGGCTAGGGATGCACCCAGAATTCCAGTAGAAGGAGACGGAGCCTGGCCAGACTGCCTGGAAGGCGGCTTACCTGTTGCCTGCGAGTTTGGTTGCCCGACTCCTAGCCACTTATGCCCCGCTGCGATTCCCCTTTATTATTGTTCACTTGCCTACTATTTACGCATTCACCAGATGTTTATTTACGTCCTTCTGTGTGCTAGAGACTGGGGAACAAGACACAGCTCCCTCTTCACGACGCAGGCCTTGCGTCCTAGTGGTGCACGCGGTCTCAGGATGTGACCTCACGAAGAATGATCACTGCAGTGAGTGCAGGAAGCATTTGCTCAGTTGCTGTGAGAACACACAGCAGGCCAGCCTGACCCAGAGGAGACTTCCTTGGGGAGGTTGGGTCCAGAGGATGAGGGGGCGTTTGCTTGACTAAGGGTGGCAGCACTCTCTGAGCAAACATCTGAGGTGCTGCTGTAAGCTAAAGAAAACCAGGGTGTGAGAGGCATGGAGGTCAGAGGGCAGATCAGAGGCCAGGCCTTGTCTCCCTTGCTTTCAACATCAAATTCAATCTTCAAGACAAGAAACCATCAGCCCACCGGGTTTGCGCCTCTTCCACAGTCCTTACACCAGGTTGTCCTACTTCCCTGTTGGATCATCAGGCCTTGGCAGCCAGGGGCCAGGCCTCCTGTTACTGCTGTCCTTCCTGTCTTGCAAATAATAATCATCTGTGGACCCATTAAAGTCCTGGTAGGATTCATCCAGTTCTGAGGAGTACTTGTGCAGCTATCTCACTTAGCAGTGAGGTAGGCTGACAGGGTCTTCTTTCCAGGCCTCAATGAGTGTTGTTTTTTCATCACTGTCCTTAGAACAGGCTGTGGACCAAAGGCTGTTCCTAAGGGAACAAGACACAAAAAGAACTGCCTAGCCACAGGCCTCAGGACTAGCTCTGGGCTTGAAATAGGAATAGGAAAAAAACTGACCTTTTAGAAGCAGCTCTTTGAGGTCACCAATTTTCCCCTCAAGGTAAGACAGAATGTGGCAGCAACACTGGAGGTTTTTTTTTTTTAGTTAATAATATAATAGTTTATTTTTACATCATTTTGTGCCTTTTCCATCTCAGTTGTAATCGCCATGGGCTTCCCATCACCAAATCACACGTGTGCCGTCACCATAGTCCAGCCAACACTGGAGTTTTTAAAATGCAACTTTGGGTGTCTTCCTCCAGGTCTGATGAGTTAAGAGTTGATACTGGACCAGCTCTGTGGCCATAAGTAGTTAAGACACCTGGGCATAATGCATTCAGAGACCAGTAGGCGGTGAGAGACTAGTCCCAAAAGAAGAGTGTCTGTCCCAGCTTATAGCATGGAGGCACTGTCCGGCCATGCCAGGTTCTGGGGAGCCTTTCTCGGTCTTGATGAGCTGAGGAAATCAAGATCAGAGTTTAGAGCAGCTGAGGTGCCTGGAACTTGCGGGACAGAGTATTCAGGAGCTGTATTCAGAAGAGATCCAGAGAACCATCCAGGCAGCATGCAGGCTTACCCCAGATAGCAAGCCGTGCTCGCTAAGGCCGTGACTCTGGGGGAGAAGCACCACCAGCCCCCTGTGAGAAGAAGGAGATTTCAGAGCTCCCTAAGGCTGGGAGACATTGGATCCCCAACTCTCCAGAAGGGGGAGGCTTCACTGACACCCTACAAAGGCCATAGAACTACACATAAAAGTTAAAACTATAGAGCTTCTAGCAGAAAGCAGCTTGGTGGTATTCTGATAGGAGAAGCACTCTTAGGAGCCAGGGAAGACTGATCATAAGTGAAAAACACAAACAACTTGGAACTCATTAAACCTTTAAATTTCTGCTTCTCAAAAAACACTTAAGAGAAAGAAAAGACTGGCAAAAGCAGAAGATAATCAGAATGTAAGTTTGGTGGCATCAGAATACCTAACTAATAGTTTTTTGGATGAAGCTACCCGTTAAAAGTGCCCTGTCAGCTGTAATAAGACCGGGAGGCCCTGTTGTTACGGCGACCGTGGTAGTTGCTGGTCTTATTGTTGATTATGGTATTTGGTGCACAGTGGACACAGTACAGTGAGTGAGTGCGTGCGTGAGTGAGTGGCCCACCCACCCACTTACCCCCTTAAAGTGAACTGGCTTACTGGCTTTGAACCTTCTTTCGGAAGTGCTTACTGCCTGGCTTCCTTTCCTGCTTTGCTTGCAATGTTTTTGGTGCGGAAGTAGTAGGGGGTGCTGTTCTTTTTGAAATGGTTGCTGTGTATCCCTTTCTTGAATTCGGAGATTAGGTATTAAATTAAAGAAGGCGTGAAAATAGCTACAGTCTTCAAATAGGTTTTCCCTTGTCTGAGAAGCTACTTGCTATAACCCCCTGAGCTACTTTTCCCACCCGGAAGGGAGTCTGGCAAGTGAATGTGAGAAAGCTGATGCTCTCAGACCTTTCCTTGTGGCCAGTATGCTGTGGAGCAGATTAAAGAGATTCTGGAACACTTTCTTTTCCATGGAAAGTTAATGTCCTGGCCTCAGTAGGACCGTTACGTGGCTGGCTGTTAGTCTGCGGAGACACAGGAGTGCGTGGTAAATGACAGAGCTGTTTTAGAGCCTAAAAACACTGAGCCCCGCCCGGAAGAGCACCAGGGTGCGGAGCAGTTTCTACCGCTAGAGCAGGGATGAAGCTCATGTCACATTCCCTGCTACCCCCCTGCTACCCCCCATCTTTACCACCTTCCTCCCCCCTTCCCCCAATACTTACATACTCCTAATTGAAAGTAAGGAGAGTTGTTTTTTTAGCAATTAAAAAAATGCATATTCCCCTAAGAACATTAAACAAAACTATCGGTCATTCTTATCTTATGGGAATGTATTAAATCAAATTAGATTTGTTATAAAACATCTCACCTGGAGGTGCCGTACACAAAGGGAACTGAGGGTAGAGCAGCTTAGGGACAAGCAGCGAGAGACCGCCTGGCTGGCTGGAGGGACTGAGGCAGGTGGAGGGCGTTTTCATGAAGTTTCTTGGCTCCAAATTGTAGCAAAGAGCCAAAGACAGTTCTCCCAGTGTTCTTTGCTCATTGGAAAGGCCCCCATGGGATCCTCGGGTCTCTGCTCGCTGCTTTGGCCAGCCACAGGGGCCCCTGGGGGACTGGGCAAAGTGTTCTGGGACACACAGGTGAACAAGGTGAATGGCGCAGGTAGTGAGAGGAAAAAGCAGCTTAAGGCTCAAGAAATTTTGGTCACAAGTGATCATACGTAAAGGCCTGCATTTTGGGGGAGACACAGGCTGTAAGTTCTCTCCCCTAAAACATACGCACTTGTGGGTGTTGCCCTAGAACGCCAAAGGATTCAACATGAGCATCCCCATGCCCGGACACCCAGTGAACTTCTCCAGTGTCACCCTGGAGCAAGCCCGCAGGGACGTGGAGCAGCTGCAGCAGCTGATCGAAAGCCATGATGTCGTCTTTCTGCTGATGGACACCCGGGAGAGCCGGTGGCTGCCGGCTGTCATTGCGGCCAGCAAGAGAAAGGTAGAGTGTGTGGGTCCCGGGCTGTGTTCCCAGTCTGCCCTTCCTCCAGAGAGCGTTGCCTGTGTGGCCTGGCGTCTCAGAGCCCAGGGTCTCACCACAGACTTGGCCTCACACACATCACCCGCAAACTGGCGGTCCTCCACTGGGCCTTCCTGACACCCCTCGGGTACTCTGTACGAGAAGGGGAACTCTGCTGATGTCATGTCAGCACCAGAAGGTCACTGCTATTCACTACCGTTTGGTCAGTGACAAGGACCAAATGCATGGAAAGGTCAGATAGATGATGGCATGGCCAGGCAAGGCTCTGTTTTCTAGGAATTTAATGACAGAAAATACTACACAGTGTTAAGAAAATACAATATTGTATAAATTGTATGTGTTTAGAGATGGTGTGTGTATACACTAGATCAGTTTTGGTTACGTCTAAGCATAGGCATGTAAATATAGCTATACTTTTTATCTAGACAGAGTAAGAAGAAGGGAGAAAGGGTGGGAAGGGATGGGAGAGAAATGAAGACAATAAGAGGGAAAAAAGGAGAAAATAATACTAATTTTTTGAGCTATGAGGTTGTAAGTGTTTTGTGTTTCTTTAAGTATCCTTTTTTTTAATCTTCCATATTTCTGTATAAGAAATTCGGAAGAATAAATTAAGTTACGGTTAGTAGAAGTTCTTATAAATGAAACAAAATGTTCTTAAAAATCTATATGTAGAGTGAATCGTGTGGTGTGGGAATTCTATATCAAAAAAAACCGTAATAAAAGATCTATCTGGACTTGAGATAACATAATGGCAGGAAGAATAGGTTTGAGGACGACTGAGACTTGATTTTATACATCTCACCCTCGCCAGCTAAGTGGCCAAGAGCAAGTTATACAGAAGTAATCTCTCTGATTTTTGGTATCCTCTTCTGTACTGGGAGATGGTTTTTGGAGTTTTTAATGAAAGCAAGTGAGAAGCGAAGAAAATGTATGTCAATCACCTGCCAGGTCTTCGTACTTAAGCCTCTGTTTCAGGTAGCTTTTACCAACGTTGGCTTTTAGGATCTAAGTATGCTCACATGCAGATATTTATAAGAACAATTTTTAAGGGTAAACCAAGTAGCAAATTAGCCATGGCTCAAACCTTCAGCGTTCTCAGTGTTCTTTTATTCCTTGACACCCACAGCTAGTCATCAATGCCGCCTTAGGCTTTGACACCTTCGTGGTCATGAGACATGGCCTGAAGAAACCTAAACAGCAGGAGGCTGGGGACTTGTGCTCTAACCACCCTGTGGCACCTGCTGACCTCCTGGGCTCTTCTCTTTTTGCCAACATCCCTGGCTACAAGCTTGGCTGCTATTTCTGCAATGATGTGGTGGCCCCAGGAGATGTAAGTGGGCTTACTTGTAATTCCCCGGTATTGTCTATGATGGTCTTGTCCACCGAGCAGGGACACTATTTCTTTCCTTTATGAGTGTCTAAATATTTGTCTTTTCACAAGAGTAGAATTCTTCAGACTTGGCATGGCATCATCCTCATCAAGCCTTGAAGGGTATCACTGGTGTAAGCGCTTCCCCATTCACCGATATAAATGCAGCGACAAGTCATTTCTGCAGAAAGCTCAGCAAGGAAACTTCAGGGTAAACTGGTCTTAGGGAAATGCCAGCCTTAGGGTAATGCCAGGGCTCAGCTTCCCTGTGTGCCGTAGAATGGGATTGGGGCACACAGAGCTGCCAGACTCAGTATGTGGTAATGCAGGATTCCTAGTTAACTTGACCTTCAGGTCAATGGTGTATATTGTTTTAGTATAAATATTTGATATCTACTTAATAATTAAAAATTGTGCATCATTTACATTTACAGTTCAGACTTAGCAGGGCAGCTTACATTTTATCTGTGAGCCCCAGTAGGGTGGGAGGAAATTTTCACAGTGCAAGTAGGTCAGACATGAAATATCCAGGATGGCACCCCCCACCGTTCAAATGTGGGATTCTGTAGTGTGGACGCCACCTCAAAAGGCAGTCTGCAGGAATAGTCTTTATCAAGACAAATATCCGTTTCTTGTAAAGCCAAGCAGAAGTATTTTAGGTACCCACCTCTCCATTTTCTGCTTTTAAGATTTGCTCCTTAATGATTTACTTTTGATGGATGACTAACTTGGATATCCTCCCAGGATAAAGAAAAATAAGACTCTTTTATGTGAACAGGAATGGCTTTATAATATCCATGATGGTGTTTTAATATTCAGCTGGCATTGTGATTTCATTGTTACTGACAAAGTGACAGTGAAGTTGCATCGTTCTTAAGATGAAATTTTCAGAGTGCAGATTACCCCTGTAAATCCTTAATTTGCCCAGAGGTAAAAGATTAGTGTTTCTTCTGTTAAACTAATGAAGGCTCAAGTTTGGAGCCATGATGTAGCAAAAATACTTGTGTTGAGCGCACACTCAGGGTGGCGAGACGCCCACACCATGGGATGCTCATAGGACTGCAGGAATGGCGCCCTGGCGCTGGCTCGGTTTGATGGCAGACGGACTCATTCGCGCTCTTCAGATGGCGCTTCCTCTCTGTCTCGGGTCTCAGCCACCAAGCAAACAGGGTTGAACTGAGTCCATTAAGGAAGCACATGGTACAGCACCACCAAATGAGGCAACTGGGTGCTCATTTTTGGGTGCTGTCACCCCATCTTTAAATTGTTTATAGCTGCTCATCCTAATTTTAGCAAGTTACCTCAAAGTCACCTGTATTGGACATTTTGGCTTGTTGGTATGCCCGAGAAATGATGTCTGAGGCTAGGTGTTGTTTGCCAATGCTGAAAAGCTGGTTGGGTGGAAGAGCAGGCGATTCAGGCCTCCCTGCTTGTGGGGGGTGGGGCGGGACGTCCACATACCTCAGTGTTGTTTCTCTGTAGTCCACCAGAGACCGGACCTTAGACCAGCAGTGCACTGTGAGCCGCCCAGGACTGGCCATGATCGCAGGGGCCTTGGCGGTGGAATTGATGGTTTCCGTTTTGCAGCATCCAGAAGGGTAAGTTTGCTACTTGGAGACAGGCGTTTAAGCAAAGGAACCCTTTCTGTCTCCCATGGCCCTTTCTTATTCTGACTCTTCTGACCACTGTGCTGTTCTTTCTGCCCTCCAAACAAGTCTGGTCTGATTCTTTGGCTGGGAGAATACAACATGTGGAACTACTCTGCATCCTCCTGGAATCCAGTGATCCTGGAGTTGCCTGATAACGAGGCAAAGAAAGAATAAAAATTTCAGTAGAGGCTTTAGAATGTCCATGGTTGCATTCCTGTATTAAGGTTGGATCCTCTGAGCTCTGAACATTTGTAAGGCAATTTGTAAGGCAATTCCTAAATCACATGATAGAAGTTACATTTGGCAGTAAGTAACAGAGTTCTATCTTTAGCGGCTTAGCCAAGTGGGGCTTTATTTTTCTTTCTTTTTTTTTTTTTAATTATTACAAAAGTTTATTTTTACATCATTTTGCACATTTTTTTTCCATCTCGATGGGTTTCCCATCACCAAATCACCCGTGTGCCACCACCATAGTCCCATGCATTTCCCTCCCTGCCCCCCAACCCCCGTTTCTGATCCCATTCCCCACTCCACCCCCACAACATGTCTCTGGTATATGGTTGTTCCTTATTTTTGTTATTTTCTCGCCTGGGGGGCTTTATTTTTCTAATGCAACAGAAGCTCAGAGGCAGGCAGCCCTGGATGGTCCAAAGGCTCTGTTACGCCCTCAGGGTCTTCTGCCCTCTCATCCTTTTTATGCCGGTCACCTGTGGCCACAAGACGACCACCGTCCTTATCATTGCTTCTGTGTTACAGTTCAAAAAAAGCTAATGACTGAAGGGTAAAAGTTGTGTTCAGCTGAGGCCACCTCCTGGAATGCACTTTCTAAGCAAATACAAAGAGGAAGAGCCATTCAGAGCAATCTGTATCACATGCCTGCTCTTAGCTGCAAAACAAATGCGGTTTGGGCTGGCACACTGCTGCTCTGTGACAGGAGAGTGGAGAATGTATGTTGGACAGGCAATCAGTAGTGTCTGCACACCGTTTTTTTAAATTCTGTGATATTTTAAATCCCAGCAGACATCATAATTGTATAGCTGTATTCATTCAATTTTGCTAATAATTTCCTCTTACTTTTTATTTATTTCCATAACTTCAAGCTTCTGGCCAGGACATTTTCCTTCTGCTTGAAGAACATGCTTTATTATTCCTTTAGAAATGCTGAATAGTTGCAAGTGAGTTTCAGTTTTTGGTTATCTGGAAATGTTTTTGTTTTAACTTTGTGTTTGGAAGATATTTCACTGTGTATAGAATTCTAGATTGGTGGTAATTTTCATTATATATAACATATGTAATCCTTTTGTCTTTGGCTGCCTTTATCTTTGTTGAGGGTGTAGGTACTTATTGCTTCTCCTTCAATATGATTTGTTTTTCTCTTTCTCCTTTTTCCACCAGTCACTTTTAAGATTTTTCTCATTGTTACTGGTTTTCAGAAATTGGACTATGATATATACTTATTTCTTTCTTTACCCTGACTATACCTTTTAGTGCTTCTTGCAACCATGGCTTGATGGTTTTCCTGTGTTGTGGAAAATTCAGTCATTATTAAAATATACTTCTGCCCCTTTCTCTCACGTGTCTTTCCTTTTGAGGCTCAGTCCAATGCAGCCTATGATATTTTCTGACATTTGATCTTTCCTTGTTTAGACATAGCTATCTTTCAGCATATCTCCAATTAGTTAATTCTCTCTTCTGCTGTGTTTAATGTGTATTAAACTCATCCACTGAGTTCTTAATTTCATTATTATATGTTTCTGTTTTAGATTTCTACTTTATCTTGTTTTACCACATATCCTGTTCTCTACTAAAATTCTGATTTTGTTCTTTTGTATTCCTTTCACCCCCATTTTCTTCTTTTTAAGGCCTTCCAGATATCTGTATCCATTATCGAATTTCTGAATCTGTTCCTATTGTTTTTCATGACTTTTTGGTTTTTTTATCTCCTCATATATCTGGTGTGTGTGTGTGTGTGTGTGTATGTATGTATGTATTTAAACAAATACAATATTTCTATTATGGAAAATGTGAACATATATGAAAGAAGAGATAGATTAAACAAAACCCCTATCCAATATACTATGCCACTCAGCTGCAGTAATTACCAACACTATTCATCATTTATCTGTACTGCTATGTATGTTTTTTCTCCTCCCACTGAGTTATATTAAAACAAATGTTAAAGACATATCATTTCATTCGTAAAAAGTATTTCTTTCATGTGTAGCTACTATTTTTCCATATAAGAACTGGGTAAAGGTAATTCTTTAATATCATCACATATGCAATTAATATTACATCCCCCTAGTTCTTTGAATCTGGTTATTATCTTTGATTGAATACTGGATATTATAAGTGAAAAATAATAATATAAGTAGTGCGATTTGCATTTAAACCGCTGGGCCACAGGTACTGCCAGCCCTAGAACATCTCTGTACCATTAGGGCTTGTCTGTTTCTGGCTCACTCAGGGGTCCCAACCCACAGCCATAGTTGCTCTTTTATTGGCAGATCTCAAACTCTAGTTTTCTCCTCCAGCCCCAAGAGTAATACCAATGTAATATTCAGTTTTTGATTGCTCACTTTGGGAGATTGAGTCATTTGATGCAGGAAAGCTCCCCTTGCCAAGACGTTTACCGGCATGGGCTTCTTCCTTCACACACCTTGGCTCAGCTCCACTTCCTGAATGTGGTAACCCCAATGCTCTCAAACGCAGGCTTTTACTTTGTCTAACTTTTCTATTTGTTCTCAATGGGAGAGTTGGTCCTGACTAGTCAGCCAAGGCTATATCAACTTTAAAAATACTTTTTTCTGGGCCCTCCCTGGTGGCTCAGTGGGTTAACGCACAGCACTAAGAAGCTTAAGCCACTTCCGCATGAGTTCGATCCCACCTGCCCCGGAGGTGACCACATGGCGCGGCAGACCTCTCCTGGCCCGCCCGCTGCTCCCCTCAGAGTGTACTTCCTCCATCTGCCTGTTCTGCTTCCCACTCTGTCTCTGGTGAAGCCTCTCACCCTCTGCATCTCTGGCCTGTACCCCAGCTCTGTATGAATAAATAAATAAATCTTTAAAAAAAAATACTTTTTTCTTTACTGAGCACTCATGGTATACTAGACTTGTCTGGAGAGTGAAGAAATGAGTGGACTGGACTGAAGTTGAGACTAGTGATCTCAACTCTTAGAAGACTGTATGTGTAGTACATTGTATGTATTGTTATAGCACAGACAATTGACAATTGTGATCTGAACACTCTCTCCAAACAAGGAGCTTTTCTTATTTTGTGATTTAGAAACAATAAAATGACTTTTTCTTGTGAATAGAAGTGAGACAAAAATACTTTTTAAAAGTCAGTCATTTATGAAAGAAAGAAAGAAGAGCGAAGGAAACAAAATAATCAAAAAGTTAAGATTCTCTCAATATCTGCCTGAGGTTGTGCTGTCAAATATGAAAGAGTGGAGACGGGCTGAATTCAAGTAGATGTTCTCTCCTGACTCTGTGACAGGATGCTGTCGTTTGTGTCATGTGACGTGATGTTTGTTACGCCATTTGTCAAGCACCTAGGTAGTGCCTGCTTCGTGCCAGGCACTGTGCCAGCGTTCTGCATGGAGCGCACTCGTTTGCTCCTCACAGCAAAAGTATGAAGACAGAACTGTCACCTCCCCCATCTGTGGGGAAACTGAGACAGAGAGTCAACGAGTTGCTGGCGTGCAGAGCTGCTAAGTGGCAACACTGGGATTTGGCTCATCCAGTTCGCCTGCAAGCTCTGTTTTTAATCTCTCTGCTGTGCTGCTTGTAACACAGGCAGTACGGGTTGAATTTCGAAAGATTTATTCTCCCAATTCTCAGAAATGAACATGAATATTCACTTGAGTGACTCAGGGCCTCTGTTGCATTTGTACTTGTGTCAGTGCCCGGAAAGCAGCCCTTGGCCTCCTCTCCTCTCTGCCCGCCTTGTGTCTCTGCCATGAAGTGGATTCCTCCTGACAGGAAACTTTTGCAGCCATGTCTGGAGAGCCCATGGAGTTGTTCCTGGGTCCTGCCCCTCTGGGCCAGCTCAGGTTCTCACCAGGTCCCGACTCAGCCTGTCTGATGCAGTGAGCGTTGCACGGCTCTCCAGGGGGAGGCCCAGTCTCCCAGTGAAGCCCTCACTTATCTTTCTCCTTCCTCCATTCTGGTAGTGTTGACATCCCCTCCGGAAGTGAGCTTTAGAGAGTTCGTGTTATGAGTTCACTGTGGTGTTTTACAAAAATGTGCCCTGAGAGTTAACGTCTGTCGGCTTCTGGTGCCCAGCGCTGCTCTTGGCACTTTCTCTCACCTGCTCCTCACTGTCCTCACAATCATCTGTCCGTGTTCTGTAGAGGATGGACCTGAAGCTCAGGGCAGCTCCGGTCACAGCTGAGCTCTCCGCCGTCTGGACTCACGCGTCTCTGGTGTTCTGCCGCCTTCCGAGCTAGGCTTCTCGCTAGCTGTTGTGCTGCTTAGTGGAGGTGCCTTGGTGACCATTCCACATGGGTCACCCCCAGCTCCTCCTCCTCGTCCTGTGTTACGTCTAGATTTCATTCAGTGAGCAGCTCTCGTTGTTTCCTTTCCACAGGGGCTACGCCGTGGCCAGCAGCAGTGATGACCGCATGAATGAGCCTCCCACCTCTCTGGGGCTTGTGCCCCACCAGGTCAGTGGTTTGGAAGTAAAGCAGACGGTATGGGGCAGACATTTGAGGTCACTTTACCAAGCCATCAACCCAGCCCTCCCTGCCCCACTGCAGCTGCCCTGGGACTGCGCGAGAAGCGCCCCTTAACCCCAGGGAGGAGCCCCACTCCGTGGGTGATGATGGGAAGAGACCCTGAACCAGCAGCTCTGCTCCTTAGCGCTGACTTGGGGGGAGGGGCTCCTCCTGTGGGAGACAAGCAAGGAGCTTTGCAATCAGCTAGACAGAGCTTTAAATCCCAGCACCTGCCTCATCTGGTGCCTGCAGAGATGAGAGCGATGGGCGCAGTGGGGCGCAGCTCCTGCTGCGCTCCCCGACTCCCTGGCGCCACGGGGGCTGTTGTGGACACTCGAGGGAAGTCATTAGGAACACACGCTGCCAGAGAGTGGGGCATTCACCCAGAAGAAGAGTCGGAACACCGTGAGGCAGGTCTGACCCGTGGAGAATGAAAGGGAAAGGAGTGGGGTGGAAACTCCGCTTTCACCTTCCTCTGGGGTGGTTTTGTTAGCTGTGTTTTTGGAGGATGAAGAGTTGTTCTAGTCTGGTTTTGCGGGGAGTTTCTTTGGGCTCCAGGCATGTGTTTCACTGTCTCAGGAAGACTGTCTGCCCAGGAAAGGGTAAGAACACCCACAGTTCTGCCAGGGGTTCTCGAGGACACTCGCGGTGAGGACAGAGGGCAGGGAGACTCACTCGTTCCTGTTTGTCCCTCTCTGGCTCCCCCTGCCGCCGCCGTGAGCTTTGTTGGGCCTGGCAGCATCTGGTGAGCATGAGAACCAGGGGGGCAGCAATGTGGCCACAGTCCAGAGAGTCCATGGTTGCCGCAAGCCAGACCCATGTTGCGCTCAGTTACCGCCCGAGACCTGGGGTTAGGTCCTCTCCCCTCCAGGAACTGCTGCTCCCCTCTCAGAAAAGCAGGTGTTCTGGATTCTGTCTGGGCCGAGGCTTCGCAGGATGGAAAACACCGGGCACCTGTAACTTCCATCGGCTTCCACCCAGGTGGCCTCCAGTTGCTAAGCCGTGTGCATCTTTGCTACGGAAACATTTCTGTGGGACGCTGCAGCTGTCCTAAGCGTCCCTCAGGAGGACCCCTCCATGGCTGACCTCCGCTGTCCCCTTCTCGTATTTCACGGGAGCCCCTCCCTCGGCCCCTTTTCACACATCCTCTTTCCCTCTCTCCTGACCTGAGATGTGCTCTCGTCTCCTTTGCAGATTTTATTCTGAGAAGGGCCTTAATTAAATTTTCAGTCATGCCCCTGCACTGGTTTCCTTTTTTAAGTCCTTTATGTGAAATTACTGCTATTGTAGTTCTCTCAGCGCTGGGGCCAGAGGGCAAAACAGCCTCTTTAGAGAAGGGGCCAGTGTCAAAATGCATGTGCCCGTGTTTTCAAAGTGCCATGGCAACTAATCCCTCCCAGGGCTGTTCACCCCCAGTGAGCCCAGCGATTCAGGGCTTCTACTTCTTCCTCTGTTGTCAAACGTCTGAAGGATCACTTTGGTTGTTGGCCATCTCTTCATCTGGCCTTTTCAAAGGCCGAAGAATAACGCAGCCATATATGGGAAAAGCCCAGTGCGTGTGTGTGATTACTTGCTTACTTATTTCAAGCTTCAAGCCTTTATTTTTAGCTACTTTCTAAAAAAGACAGCAGAGAAAGAACTTTGAAATTAATCAGGGTTGTGCGGTCCCCATGTAGAGGCTTTACATTTCTTTCTTTTTAAAGTGGAGGGAGTCCGTGTTTTGATGGGGGGAGCGTGGTTTCCACAAAAACTGAGCTGTGTCACAATGCCCTGCTGCAGATCAGCAGCTCCCTCCCCTGCCCTGGCTCTGAGGGGGATGGGTTCCAGTTGGAGAGGAACTTGGTAAACCCATTTCGTGCTTTGTCTACAAAGAAGGCCTTGTCAGTGTTCACTACTTGGCCCTGTGGAGTGTGCGTGGCAGTAGAAAAGTGTCAGTCCTTGGGCCAGGCCCCACCCGCACCTCAGTCTGTCATCTGCAGGCAGTCGCCCTGCTCTGCTGGTGCCCCCTGTAGCTCAGCTGGCCTCTGGAGGCCCTGGCTATGTAGGTGATCTCTCTGCAGGCAAACAGGCCGATGTTGGCCAAGTACAGAAAAAGGACTTGATCAGGCCTTTGAGAACTGAAAACAAAACATCTGAAGGAGAGAAAATAGGCTCCTGGGTTGCTGGTGGAGTTGTTTTAGGTCCGTGGCCTGCCGTATGGGGTGGGGTGGTGGAGCCAGCAGCATGAGGATAGCCACTTTCTGTCATGAAGACAGTGACTTTAATTTGAATCATTTATTGATATGTCAGACACATCTAGATCATCACACAAATCCACACAACTCAGATAATAGCGAAGTGAAGACCCCCTGTGCCAGCACACAGGTCTAGGTCAGAGGTAAGTCTCCCGAAGCCCCTTGCTCGCCCCTCCAGTGGCCACAGCTGCCTCCTGCAAGGAGGTGAGCAGCTCTTGCGTCTCAGCCTCCCGGGAGGCCGCTGTCTAGTTAGGGCCTTCCCAGTGATGGAGTTGCAGAGGGCATGCTCTTTGGCTCCTTTTACACAGAGGACTTACTCCTTGGAGAGCTTAGGCTCATACCTTTCCCTCAGCTTCCCATCAGGTGGGATCTTTCATTTGGGAGCGGGGAGAAGCGTGGGGAAAGGCTGTCCTGGCTACTGGTACGGTAGGCAGCTGAGTTCAGCAAGGCCAGATCCTCTCCTGGTCCTGAGGTGGGAGGCACCGATCAGGCACTCCAGAATGTGCTGAACTCTGCCGGCATCTCCAGGAAGTCGGCGTGGTGAGAGATGCTGAAGGTGATAAAGTGCCAGGTCATTTGCCAGGACCTCCCTCCAGGGGGAGCCAAGGCGCCAGGACCCCCCCCCCCAAACGCCGGCGTTGGGCTGGCAATTCTGCCTCCCCCCGCCCCCCGGGCTCACTGGGCAGCTCACAGTTTTTGTCTTGGGATGAAATACTCTTGGCATTCATCTTTGGGTGAATATACTCTAGCTGGTGAATAAAGACCCTGAGTGTGTGTGCCCTCCTAGGTTGGACTTGCCAACCCTGGGCGCTCTCAGACTTCTGAATTTGTTCTTTTAGTCACTTTCAGAAAAGTAGAATAAAGCCTGAAGTAGGGCAGGACCCTGGGAGGGACCTGGCCTGGGAAATTTCTAAGTGAGCAAATGCTGCTGTGGCTCCGGCCGTGCCTGGGCTGGCCTTTACTGGGGGAGTCAGCACAGGCTGCACCCCCAGGTCCTCAGGGCTGGCCTTTACTGGGGGAGTCAGCACAGGCTGCAC